TTGCAAGGCAATGCTGAATTGCAGCGCGCTGTGCAACGGTTTGAGCCAAGAAGCGGGGCGACTAGAGCGGCGAGGGCTAGCATTGAATGAAGCCATGATGCGAGGGGGTCGGGTAGGCTGAGGCAGTTTCAATTGGATGATCCCTCACAATGTTTGCTCAGAAATGAGCCGTCGATTGGCCACTTAGAAACATCGAACGGCTCAAATAAAGGCATTCTCGGGAGCTTTCATGCAAAGGGCCATACATGTACAGGCTGCACTGGCATGTGAGGTGCACTGTGCAAGGCCTTCCATCACTCAAGTTGAAGCAGCGCGACCATAATTTTAAAGAGATCTTAAATTGCGCGCTGCTTCGGATCGTACTTTGAAGTCTCAAAGCTTGTAAAGGTGCATGCATACAAGTTCTTAGTGGCACTCATGCATGCCCCTTGCATGCTATCTGCTTGTTACGATTGTTGATAGAAAATTGGTGTCCAAATGAAAACAATGTTCCATTGGCCACAAGGTTTGCAAATGTCGGACGCAAGAATCTTGGATAATTAGTTGAATCAAAGATCTTCGAAACGGCGCGCTCATAATTGTCGTATCAATGAGAAAAAGCAGTGAGACATCAGCCATTAGGAATCAGCATGAATGAGCATTGCGGTCTTGAATGCTACACTGGCCTGCACCAACAACATGTGACTGTTGCCCTGTTGGGGACAGGTGAGCAAAGTGCAGTCAAACCATCGCCACCTCGAAGTCGTGATCGCAAGGCTCGATTCCATCAACATTATAAGCATTCGACCAGCCATGTGTTGGGGCAGCACGAACAGGCAACCCTCCCTTGCTGTAAGTTTCCTTGGCAAGTGAGAAACGAAATTGAAGTCGAAACGCGATGTATGTCCGAAAAGGAGGTGTAAACTCCATCACGAACTCATAGAAAACCCGAGGCGACGGTACCAAGTAAGGACCATCAGATGAACCTTTCTTGAATGGGCATACACTTCCGAAGGTTTCAAAAACCGTTTAGTCTGGTTGCCAAGCACCTGGCTGAAAAGTAGCCCCCCGTCCCGCAGGCTCTGCAGACTGTGAGCTTTGATCAAGATTGCTAGATGGTTTCCGGGGGTCATGCTGGCCAGCTTTCCGCTCCTCGGATGGAGGCCTCGGAGCAGCACTCGGCGATCCGCCACTACTACTAGGCTGCCACGAGTCTGGCTTGAAGGAGCCCTTGGGCCCACCCGAGTCAGCTGCGGGATCAAATCTCTGCACGCCCACTCTCGAACCAGGTCTCTGCTTTGGCAGACCAGCCACCTTTCCGCTGTCGCCTGCCTCCCAAGCATCTTCACCTGCCACGAAGTAGGATACCTGGTATCTTGACATTGTCAAGCAGACGGAGGGGAGGGCCCCTCGCAATGATGTTCCATCTCGATCAGACCCGCAATGTCAGGACTTGCCAATCCGAGTTCCGTCAAGTTGTAAGTCGCCATTCAAAGCTCCCAGCCAACTCACAACGATCCTGAACTTGCTGCAGACCTCGCTTCGTCCGAACTTCCGTTTGTTCTATATACTGGCACAGTGGTACTCACGCGATGATGATGCTGAGATCTGGTCCATGACGCGGGACATGTCGTGCGGGCCCTCCTGCTCCGCTACGCCGGCCTGCCTCAGGCTGCGGGCCCGGAACTTGCGCTTCTCCTCCTCCTTCTCCAGCACAGACGCCCGGAACTTGATCATGGTGCGCCGCATCTCGAGCGCGCTCATCTCCTCTTCCGAGGGGGCATGTGGGCGCGTCCCTGCCAGCCAGCTCGTCCACTCAACTGTGGAAAGCAAGAAAGAGCACCGCGTTTGAGCGGCCACATTCTGCGCACTCAGTAGGTCAAGGTTAATGTCAACGTGACCACCAAGTTTGAAGATGGGGACTCACCACCAACTAACCCCAAGCGATTGTCTCTGGTATCACCTGCTGGCCAGCATGCATTCAAAAAGGAAAACACAATGAAAAAGAGAAAGAAGGATCGGTTTTGAAGAAGGAAAAGGGGTCAGGCACACTTGTGTCTCTCTGCCTCCTGTTCACGCATGAGGCACACTTACAGCAGCCTGATGTAACAAAAGGATCGGAACGCACTTGGCTTATAAAGGTGGGTCAGATTCCTAGCCCTGCCCAAGTAGGAGTTGACAGTCGACTCCTTGTGGTGAAGCGGGAATGTATACTCTCACTACACAAGAATCGTGATGCACCGGCCAGGACGTAATGTCTCCTCCTTGAGTTGAAAGAGGAGAATCTGGACCAGCGCACAGGTGGTGAACCTACCGGGCACTGACGTTGGATCAGGCAACTTGTCCCCCCCAAACTCAATCCACCGCTTCTCCACCACCGTGCCATCAACCTCTTCGGGCCGCTTGAAATACTTATTGCCACTCCGATCTGATCCAAAGGGGGTAAGAACAAAGTTGGGTCTTTGCAAGATCGTCAATTGCAACAAGCAAGTGTGCATCTCAGCAAGACAAAACAGCTAAACGATCTGGCAGCCCGAGTCTGCTTATTGCCGCCTATCCTCTTCATCTTCAAACATCAAACGTAGCACGGCGGCATGAGTTACACACCTGTTCCAACGTGCTCAATTTTTTGTATCTTCCCAACAAGACGCTTGAAGGCGCCACTGAATCTGCTCAGCATGACTACAGTCAGTTGATGGCTGCCAATAATGCTATACGCGCTGGGCTAACATGAAAGCTGCCACCTCAACCAGCGACTCTGCTCAGAAACACAGCACACCCTGAGAACCAACGGGAGAACACTCCATGAGCTGGCGTCGGCTTGATCGGCACAAGATGAAAAGCAGCCGAAGCTGTGCATGCACCGCGCGCGTTGCCACTCTCCTGCCAGGTGATCGCCTACCGGAGAAACCTACAAGCACTGTAACCTCCTCATAGACCAGCATGAGCGCTTATAACGCTTCCATTCTGAAACTTGCCGCCTGCCTTGTCAATGTCAGTGTGCTTTGCCACCATCAAATGCCACCAGCATGATTCGAATTTGGATCTCAAGTGGCCCCACAGAAAGGCATGAGCATTGAGGATCCAGAGATTGCCTGCCTCCTCATACTTCTCGTTCCCTTGACACTCGAGTATAAACCTGATGTTTCCGGTAGACAATTTCTTGAGACCGTGTGTCAAAAAGAAACGTGGTAGCGCTAACCCTAGATCCACGTTAGCTGAGTCTCTCTTGAGTTCGCGGGGCACACGGAGCTGAGCTGGTCCAGGTCAGTTCGCTGCATGAGCAGGCGCAGGATTCAGATGAGAGAAGCCCCAGAAGTGAAGCTCCATGAGGACGCAAGCTGGCAGTGGAGGCGGAGGGTTGTCCTTTGAGTGCAAGTTGATTGGTGTTGCTGAGTCCGCTTTTCAATCTGAAGTGGGCCCTGTTTGTTTCTGGTGAGCACAGAGCTCAGAGCCATGGCTGCTGCTCTCATCAGTGCGCAGGTGGGATGGGGTTCCTCCAAGGAGTTTTTGGATCTTGTGAAACAGATTGGAGAGTGCCGTTCAAAAGCCGAAGAAGACAAGATTGTGCTGGGGGAGATTGAGCTGCTCAAAAAGAAGATGGCTGAACCAGATGTTCCTAAGAAGAAGATGAAAGAGTACGTGATTCGGCTGGTGTATGTTGAGATGCTGGGGCATAATGCATCCTTCGGCTACATCCACGCCGTAAAGGTGGGTTTGCCTGCTTGATTTTCACTACCATTTTTTGAGTGGTTAATTGTACTCATTCCCGTTAGCGACAGCCAAGGCAGTTTTGCTCTAAGATTGCAATTTTTACAAGAATCAGCAGAGATGGCTAGCATACGATTATTTACAATCCATGCAGAACTCTTTGTTGCTCATCTTCCAGTGGCTTCTGTCCAGCCCTGTCTCATGAGCCCTCTCGTTGTGTACCTTTTGTGAGTGGGGAATTGCACCAATCTATTGCCCAGAATCTACTAAATTTTCAACTGCCCGATTGCTGACCATGCACCCGTTTACATTGGGATAGAGATCCTCCAAACCTGTTCTGCCAAGCTTTCACTCCCCTTGTTTGCAAAAGCCCGGGTCTGGTGTTCTTCGCAGATGACTCACGAGCACAGTCTTGCGGCCAAGAAGACGGGCTATCTGGCAACCTCGCTGTTCTTGGATGACAGCCACGACTTGATCATCTTGATTGTCAACACCATCCAGCAAGACCTCAAGTCGGACAACTACCTCGTGGTCTGCGCCGCCCTCACTGCCGTCTGCAAACTGATCAATGCGGAGACCATCCCCGCCGTCCTGAACCAGGTACAAAGCGGGAAGGCATTGAAAGAGTCGAACTTCAAGCCCTTCTGTTGTGCCAATCTGTTTGCCATGATCATGACACACTAGGGTTGAGCGTCACATCACCTTGCACGTGTGACTCAGCGTCTGCACTGGCCTGCGCAGGTTGCGGAGCTATTACACCACCCCAAGGAGCTTGTGCGCAGGAAAGCCGTCATGGCGCTGCACCGCTTCTACCAGCGTTCCCCCAGCACCGTCTCACACCTTATGCCCAGATTCCGGCAGGTGAGCCGTGACATATTCTCGGGTCCATTGTCGTAGATCCCTTTCCCCACTGGCTGAGTAGCGGGACAAATCAAACCCCCAGCTTGCACGCATGTGTGACTGTCATCAGATTGCCCAATTAACGAAGGACCCAAAGTATGCTCTCCGGGAGCTGTGAGCTGCAATTGTGGCCTGGCTCAGGCACTGCCCCCGTTGATGCCCAGTGTCCGCGTCTGCTGCGCGCAGGTGCTGTGCGACAAGGACCCCAGCGTGATGAGTGCGGCTCTGTGCGGGCTCTACGAGCTGATTGTGGCGGACGCTGCGCCGTACAAGAACCTGGTGGCCAGCTTTGTGAGCATCCTGAAGCAGGTCGCGGAGCACCGCCTGCCCAAGACGTATGACTACCACAAAACGCCCGCGCCCTTCATCCAGGTGAGAGGGCGTGGTAGGAATTGTGAAAAGAGTTGGGCAGTTTATCTTTCTGGGCTTAATCCATGCCCAGCATGTGCAGGTTCTTCTGATAAGCCCCCCGCCTCAAACATTTCAGTTGAAGAGTAGAAGCGCTGGTTAGCTGGGGAAGGCGTATGTTTGCCAGAGACCATAACTTAGATCAGGGACTAAATTAGACATGCATGGAGTCTTCATCTTGAACAGTAGATGTCCCTGCTATGACCCCTTTGGGGCAGTGCAGACAATTTACGGCTCTTGACTGCTATAGCCATGTGGCGCTCTCTCTGCCCCTCCAGATCAAGCTGCTGAAGATCCTGGCGCTGCTGGGCGTGGCGGACAAGGCTGCAAGCGAGAACATGTACAGCGTGCTGGCGGACGTGCTGCGCAAGAGCGACACGGGGGCCACCATCGGGAACGCCATCCTGTACGAGGGCATCGCCACCATCGCAGCGATCTATCCCAACCCCAAGCTCTTGCAGCAGAGCGCGCAAGTCACCTCCCGCTTCCTCAAGGTGATTCACGCGCCAGCTACTGTCATGCTAGCTTGTCTTTCCCTGTCTTATCATGAAAGTCGGAGCGGCCGTGAGCGACTTGGTCTGGTTCTCATGTTTCGTGGGGCGGTCTCTCTTTGCTGGCTTACTTGGCAAGTGACGGGGCGCAATCATCCATGAAGTCTGCCTACTCCTCTGCTGAACTTGGTAGTAATCACCCCCGCCAGAGCTTTCAACTACGATAGATTCACAGTCCTTGAAATAATCAGGCCCTCCGGCTATGGCTGTGCAGAGCGAGAGCCACAACCTGCGGTACATGGGCATCGACGCGCTGGGCCGCATCGTGAAGATCAACGCCGACTTTGCGGCGGAGCACCAGCTGGCGGTGATTGACTGCCTGGAGGACCCAGACGAGACGCTCAAGCGCAAGACGCTGGAGCTGCTTTTCAAGATGACCAAGCCCGCCAATGTGGAGGTGATTGTGGAGCGCATGATTGGCTACATGCGCACCGTCACCGACGCCCACTCGAAGGGCACCATTGCGGGCAAGGTCATCGAGCTCGCCGAGCGCTTTGCGCCCACCAACGAGTGGTTCATCCTGGTGAGCCATCGCTGCAAGCATGTAATCTCAACCTATTGTTGCAAATACGGGATCCTAAAGCCTTTGCGCAAAGTTCTGGAAACTTTGCGCCTGCAGATGCTTCCGGATGTCGCACATCGTGTTGATCCCGACATACTTCTCACGTTTCTCGGTTGTTTGCTCCGCTCTCATCAAATCGGGCGTCAACTCGGACAAGCTGATTGCTCGTCGTCCAGCACGTTGCGGAGGCGGCCTCGTGAATGGATTTCCCATTCCGCTTGCAGACGATGAACCAGGTGTTTGCGCTGGCGGGCGACCTGGTGAAGCCCAAGGCGGCGCACGACCTGATGCGCCTCATTGCCGAGGGCAACGGCGAGGAGGACGAGGCATCGGACACGCAGCTGCGCTCGCTGGCGGTCGACTCGTACTTGGACCTGCTCGAGGCGCCCAAGCTGCCGGCCCTCCTGCTGCAGGTTAGCCCGCATCCGCCAGCGAACGGGGAGGCGTGCATTAGGGGCGTGCAAATATCATTAGCCCCTATAAGAATCTGCTTTGAATCAGTTGAGCTGAGTTGCTGAGTCGAACGATGGGGTCGCCATTTGTAGATGCTCTCAGCAAGCTGGCAACCTCAGAATTAGTGGTCTCGAGAGCGCAAAAGTCCCTAGACCCTTTGTTCAGACTTGGTTGCGTCCTTTGCCAGGTCATCTGTTGGGTACTGGGCGAGTACGGGACCGCAGACGGAAAGCATTCCGCAACGGCCATCGTGACCAGCCTCTGTGACCTGGCCGACCGCTACTCCGAGGACACCACTGTGCGGGTGAGCCAGCCGAAACATGCGGGATAGAGGCGCATCATTTATTTTAGTTTTGCTTCCGAGTGACCTCGGTCTTCCACGGCTTAGCCACAACAGAGGTCACCGGCTTTGCGCTCATGCAATACTAACGTTTCGGCCCTGCGCTCGTCTCGATTTTGTTTGAACTTTCGAGCCGTTCACGGGCGTATCACACAGCAGCTCCGCATCTCTTTCTCACCGCCTAGCCGCATGGTATGGCACTAAGTGCACTTGGTTATTCTGCCCCTCTCCCAGGCGTTCTGCCTCACCCGGCACCATTCTGTTTTGGCAGGGCTACGCGGTGTCTGCCATCCAGAAGGTGTGCGCCTTCCAGGTTGCCGCGGGGCGGCCCGCCCCGGTGACCCCCGAGGTGCGGTCGTTCCTGGACGCGCTGTGCATGTCGCGCTCGACGGACCTGCAGCAGCGCGCGTACGAGCTGCAGGCGCTGCTGGGCCTCGGCACGGACGCCGTCGGGTCCGCGCTGCCCGAGGACGCCTCCTGCGAAGACATCGAGGTGAGCGTCGGAGCGCAGGGGGAAAAGGGCTAAATATCTGCGTGTTGGCAAGTCTGGGCCCCTTGGCAGATGGCAGGAGTACAGGTTGTGCAGGATGAAACGGTCCCGTTTGCCGCGCAGCACGTTCACCAGCACATTTGCATGAGTTGCAGACGGATCCACTTCGATCGGTCTGAAGAGATCCTTGGCAGCTCCCAGCAGAAGGTTTTGCCTAAGTGTGTGAGCACTATTCCTGCATGATCGATGGAGCTGGTTGCTCTTCTTCCGTCATTGCAGGTAGACGAGAGCCTGTCGTTCCTTGGCGCTTTTGTCGCTGCCGCTCGCACTGCCGGCGCCAAGCCGTACATCTCCGAGAACGAGCGCCTGGGCCTGCCCCCCACCACCGACCTGGCCACTCTCCTGGGACCCTCAGGGCCCCGGCCCGCCACCCCTCCTTCGCACTCTCTCCGATTTGAGGCATACGAAACGCCGACGATCCCTGCTCGCAATATGACCCCGCCCGAACAGCCGAATTACGGTGCGGGAGACCTGATGCACGTGGAGGCTGCCCGGGGCAGCGCGGCCAGCGGGGCGCCCGAGGCGTCGGGTAGGGGGCAGACGGGCGGTCCGCCAAAGCTGGGGCTGCGGCTGGACGGAGTGCAGAAGAAGTGGGGGCGGTCGACGTACACCAGGTGAGAGGGGCAGAGGCAACCCTCAGCTGTGGTTTTGATTTTGTTTTGGACAAGGTTTATGAAAATTGGTAGCGACTGCTGCAGGTTTGGTTGAGGGATCCCCAACGCAATTGCAAAGAGCACCACCGCAGCAAGCTGCGCTTCGCAAACTGCCGCTTGTCTGCCAGTGCTTGCGCTCGCAGGTCTGTGCTGACATCATCCTCTCTGTTTGCAGCGCTCCCTCAACGTCCGCTGCGTCTACGTCAGCTTCCTCCAGCAGTGCTCCGCCCTCGGCCCCCGTTTCCTCCGCTCCTCGGGAAGAAGCCCGCCCAACTCCGTACGTCTCTGATCGACGGCCACGCGAACCTGAGGTGTCCGAGGAAAAGAAGAAGCTGGCGGCATCGCTCTTCGGGGGGGGCGCTGCCACCACGTCTCGTGGTGGAGGAAAGGCAGCGCCTCGGCCGGCCACAAAGACGAAACTGGCGGAAGGGGGCCGTGCGGGAACGCCCACGAAGTCAACCCCCGTCCCGCAGCCGGAAGTGAATCTGCTCGACTTCGGCTCGGATAGCGAGGCTCCTTCAAGCGCGGCTCCGACCCCTGCTGCGGATCCCTTCAAGCAGCTAGAAGGGCTGTCCGTTTCCACTCCGGCTCCCCCCTCGACAGAGCCGTCTCCTGCTGTTGCTGCGGCCGCAAAGCCTGCCTTTGATTTGGCCTCCTTGTATGCGGGGCCGACGCAACCCGGTTCCGTAGTTGGGGGCGTTTCGTCGAACCGGCCGACCAGCCCAGTTCCGGGACTGACAAACACGGGGCCGGGCCTGGCGGGAAATGGAAGGCCCAATTCGGTGTCACCAGTCGTCAACAAGGCCCAGCAGGCTCAGAAAGCAGGAATTGTGCCGCAAAATCCAGACATCTTCCATGACCTTTTGGGTTGAGGCCGACAGAGATGTGAACCGGAAGTCGGGCGTTGGCATTGTTGTTTATTCTGAAAAGCGTTCCATATACTGCATGCTAAATAGCACAGAGTATTCACGCGAAGGCGCGCAACGCCGTGGACCGGGTTCTACCTTCTCGATCCACCCAGCTACCTGCAATGGTCCTGGCCGTTACATATTGTCGTCCTGCGGGCATAATGAAGCACCTTATACATGTCTAAGCGACGGTCATGAGTTGATACCATGGAATGACACCACGTACATGTCAGCTGCATGGGCCGACCTATGCCAGCTGCCCGCGACCCTATATACTGGTGCAATGGAGACCCGGCGGCTGTACATCCGTGTCCGACTCACATGCCAGCGTATTGACATACCATGCGGCAACTCTCGTGTGACAGCTATAAGGCCCGGGGCGTGTGACCTATAAGATTCAAGCTACCTGCGGGCCCACAAAGTATATTAAAACCTAACCCAATTAAATAATCATTCGAACCCGCTCTGCACCCCAACCCACCATAACTACCTTACCTACCCCTCCCCTGTCTCCCGGGCGCCTGTCTTAAGTCACACCCCTCTAAAATCATACGAGAGTTGGCGGCCAGAGTCATATTGACCATGCAATGTTCTTTTCAATGTCGTGGCTGCACTTGCGCCATCTTTAGTCCTGATCTCAGGGCATACATGATATGGATGTGTATGATGGCGACCTTAATGATGCAATCAGTACGACGATTCTCCGTGGAGCACATTCAATGTTGGAACTCATTACCGGGTTGGTTGTCTGAAAACTTATCAAGTGTCGGGCAATATGAGAGATGTTGTAGCAAAAAGGGGCCACGCAGGGACGAAAATGACTGCATGGTATATGTGTCTAGTAGTCAGAAGAATGTCCATTATATCATAGCTTTCATGAAAGGGTGCAAAAGGGCCCGTGTATTTGATACACTCGTTTCCTATGAACTACAAGCCCAAGCTTGCTTGTTCTAAATCATTCCCTACAGTCAATCGCCCAGCCAAAGAGAAACTATGTCTATAAAGTTGGCCCGTTCTGCTGGAACTTAGTTTCGCCGACTAGGAAATAAAAGAAAAGCAGCCCTCACATAAATCTTTAATGCATACGCACGAGACAAGCACCGGCGTCTCACTCATCGACTGGCTCCACTTTGACATCAGCACCGCTCTTTGCGGCATCCGCTTCCGTGTCCATCGGCGTGGCTGTGTCGTCCTTCTTCGCGTCCTGCTGCCCTGCCTCCTCTGGCTTCGCCTCTGGGGCGGGCTTCGTCTCCTTCTCGGCGGGCTTGGGAGCGGGCTTCGGCTTGGTCATGATGGGACGCGCCAGCCTGGGGACACACGCCACAAACGCCGATTGCTGGCGGCACGAAAGCGAGACAGGGCAACAATAATCACAATACGACGGACGCAGCAATCCGTACCTTTTCTCGAACCTGTATCGAAACATGCATCCAGGGTCTGTCCAATGTGCAGGACAAGCAGGAGCGGTGACGGCGACGGGAATTAGCACCGTCAGTCATAAGGCAAGGTCGATGTGTCAAGTCTCTAACAACGGTCACAGATCTCGACCTACGACCAGAAGCGCTCGACCAGACGCCGACCCGCAATCGTCCTCTTTGGGATGTAGATCCGCTTGGCCAGTCGGCTCACCTGTCGAGCATCTCCTGCTTCTTCCTGATGTCCTCCGCCAGCAGCACAGGCGCGCCGGTCTTGGGCACGGTCGCCTGCTGCGCCTGCTTGTCCATCAGCCACTCCTCCGCCTTGATGCTCTCCTCCACCACCTGCACACGCCGCCCACCGCCACGTCAGCGCCCGTCCACGGTGAGCAAACAGGTATCGTATTGGCTCAAGGAAGGGGCGCCGCAGAATAGATCCGGCGTTCTCGTTAGGCAGGGAACGAAATCCGACGCGGCCGAGCACCGCTCGTCATAGCTGGTGGTGCCACAAACACCGTTGGGGTCGTGGGCTTTTTCCAGCCGACTCCTGCTTCTGTCAACGTAGTTCAGCGGTCTAGATCGACAAGGATCAAAAACATTCGTGTCTTGGTTTCGAATTTAGCTGTACATCATCTGAGGCGGCAATGCACGCGGCCACCCCACCTTCTCCTTGTCGCCCGCATCAATGTGGTCGTACTTGGCGTCCTTGGACAACGCCGCCTCCCGGTAGCTCGCGATGGTCTGCATCAGGCCCTGCGCGGCTGCGGGGCGCTCCTGGTCCTGCTTCAACCGCTCCTCCAGCGGGTCGCCCATCTGCACGCCCGGGGGATCACCGGCTCAGAGGGCGTCCAAAGCCCTCACAAGAGCGGGGGAAACAAGAAACATGCTCACTAATACCTGCCGCTGAGCGCTGCATTGGAGCGAAGACGTCGATATCTAGCGTCATGAGCACGACGGGGTTGAAAGGGGCGAGACAAAGTCAGTGTTTCCAGCGACCACAGTGGGTGGGCGCGGGCTCACCTTCTTGAGCTCGTCCAGCTTGGCCGAGTAGACCCCCTTGGTCTCGTCCTCGCCCTCCTCGTACAGCCAGTCCTCCGTCTGCTGCAGCTTGCTCATCAGCGTCGACTTCTCCGCCTCCGTCACGTACGGCTCCAGCCGGTCGTACAGCTGCGCAGCAGACAGCACACCAAATCAGAAGATACTCTGATCGTCGTCTTCGTTCGTTACAAGATTCGTAAGTGTGAGTCTCACAATCACAAACGATTGTTGTGGCCTGGCTGTAAGAATACACGAGCTTCAGTTGTTTGCAACCGAAGAACGATTGGCGTCTGGAGTAGGGCAGAGCAGCAACGACTACACACTCCGATACTTGCAAGATAGCTCGAACAAGAAGTCTGTCCTCGAAGGGAGAATCTAGCAGAGCATCAATTCGACGTTCGAATTGCATAGGCGATGACGATCTGCCGAAGCAGAGCAACGACCCACTGCCTGGGAGGCTCACCTTGTTCCTCATACTGTAGACGTACGCCTCAACGGCGTTCTTCTTCTCCTTGGTCTCCTCGATGATCTTGTCCTGCAGCTGCATCTCGTACTCTTCCTCGACGGCCTTCTGCAGGTCCGGCGGGCTCAGCGCGCCCCACACCTTGGCGGTCACCGGCACGTCCACCTTCCGGCTCTTCTTCTTCTTCACCACCTCCACCTGAACCCAAAAAAAGCCCGCGACATTGTAAGCCCAACAGGCATGCCTCACTACGAAGACACAAGGCTCCGAACAGAAATGTCCTCTGAAGAATTGAAGCAACGAACGCCCTGCTGCCCACTCTTTACACAGTGGATATTTTGAAAGAGTCACAGCAAGAGAAACAGTGGCTTCAAACACACTAAAGGCCTTGTCCCAGGACCAATGACAAAGCTGGGAATCGGGGAAGGAACCAGCAACAAAAATTTCTCACAGAACCACGCCCCAACATTCAGTCCAGATTACAACCCGACTTTCGACTTCTGAACATGAGCACAGCAGCAACAACAAAAGCAAGCGCAACAGAAAAGGAAAAGGGATCTTCAACTCTTCCAGCAAAACACAAGAAGGCCTCAGCGCTCACCTTTGCTGCATCTCCATTGGCTGCCGCTCCCCCCTCTGCCTGTTTCTCCGATGCCGCCCCTGCCTCCGCATCATCCATCTTGATGTCCGCATCCCCCGCAGCAGTTGAGGCCTCCTCCTTCTTGTCCCCCTCCGTCTCCATGGGGGTCGCCTCAGCGCCTTTGTTGACTGGCACCTCGATCTCCTCCTCCTCAATCATCTGCATCATGAGCAGACACGTCAGCGCGGAAGTCCGGCAGGGCATGTTCGTGCCGGGGTCATGCTCGCACATCGCTCAAGTCCTCTGCTTGCTGCTCATTTGAGAGATGGCTGCCACTCTCCTTGTTTCCATCGTTGGATAAGAGCAATCCATGTTCCATCATTGGATAATAAGAGTAACAACCGCCTTGCGGGGGCAAGAGCGCAGCGGTGGACTTACGGTGGCCTGATCCACGGTGACGCAGCCGTGCAGGTTCAGCTTCACCTTCACCTTCAGCTGCACCGCCGCCTTTGGCTTGGAGGGGGTGAACGGACCAATCTGCAAGGGGGATACCAGAAAGTCAGCAATCCGATTTTTGACAGTTGGAGAAACTTGAGTGCAAGATATGTGGAGCAAGACGAAGGGCTGGACCGACACAAGCATCCCAATGCACAATCAGTGAGCTGATCATCTGTGCATCATCTGGCATGCACGAAATCTGGCAGCGACATACCTGGAAGGTCCCAAGGACAGTCGGATACTCTGGTGGCAGAAGAGACGCGTCGTTATAGACTGCGTCCAGGCTGAATGGCTCGGACCGGTAGAAGTTGACAATCTTCGAGTTTGGCAGGGGGTTGAGTTTCTTGAAGACTTCGCTGTTGGAAGGGAGAGGCGCGTCTTCCCCCTCCACCTTGTCATTGTCGGATGCGCTCATCTGCCACGAGAATGCGACCGGGTACGGATAGGCATCTTGCACCTGCATCAGAAACAGAGAAAGCAGCTGAGATACACATTCAACAGCGCACTACTCCCGCTGTCAGGGACACAAGTGGACTGGAGAACAAGCATTCTGCCACATTGACAGCCACTTCAAATCAAGTACTCCACGTGCTGCTTATGCGATTGCAACATGATGTTCCAATCAGATCAAACACGCCAATCCGCGCAGCAAACCTTGTTCGTGTGCAGCTCATTAATTGCTGGTAGTTTTTCAACTCAACCGTTACCACATTCTCACCTGGAAATCTCTAACGCGGAACACGGGGGACAGCATTGCACACTGCAGCGCCGTGCCCTTTGCCACCGTCTCGCTTGCATTCATCGTGCGCTTGGGCTCCTGCTTGAAGAAGGAGGACAGGATCTTCATGATCGCAGGCACGCGAGACCCCGAGCCCACCACCTCCACCACGCTGATCTGCTCCACACTCAGGCCCGACTCCTCCAGCGCCACCGCCAGGGGCTGCCTGACGCGCTCCAGGATAGGAGCAGCGAGCTCCTCAAACTTCTCCCGGGTCATGAAACCCTTGACGTCCTTCTCATCCATGAGGCACTCAATCTGGATGGGCGCCTCGGGGTTGGCGCTCAGCACTTTCTTGAGCTTCTCGCACGCCTGCCTGAGGCGCAGGCTCGCCCTCGGGTTGGTGCGGACGTCGATGTGGTAGTTGGCCTTGAACTCGTCCGCAAAGTGGTTGAAGAGGACCTCGTCAAACTCCCTGCCACCAAGATTCCGGTCCCACGCCTCAGACAGGATCTTGAGCTGCCCCTTCTTGAAGGCCACGACCGTGGTCTGCAGGCTTGCATGCCCGACATCCACAAATGCCACGTTGACTGTTTCGTTGTCAGGCAGATCTGTCTTGTAGATGCCCCACGAAAGAGCAGTCGCTGCGGTCTCGTGCATAAGCCTGAGGGGATTCAAGCCAACAATTTTGGCAGCATCTAGGTACGAGCGCCGCATAGCCTCTGTGGCGAACACAGGGACGCCAATGACGCAGTCCACCAGCGGGGACCCCTGATCTTTCTCTGCAATTCCCTTCAGATGCCCGAGAATTGCGGCCAGGATCTGGGTTGGCGTGAAGGTCCGCTGCTCCCCTAGGTACATCACACTAACAAGTGGATCTCCATCCGGCCCCTCGACCACCTTGTATGGTAGGAACTGAAGCTCCCTCTGCACCTCCGGCTCCCTGAACTTGCGCCCAATCAGCCGCTTGATCTGCCCTACTGTGTTCTTAGGGTTCATAGTGACAGCACCCGCTGCAGCAGTACCAATGAGCCGCTGCTTGTCATTGAAAGACACCATGCAAGGTGTCTCTCTCTTAGATTCTTCATTGAGGACACAATCGATGCCTCTTTGCCTCGCAAGAGCAATGACACAATTCTCATTGCCGATGTCGAATCCGACCACCATCTTGCCAAGAAAGGAGGGAGCCAACCGCTCTCAAGATCTGGAGCCGGCTGCAAAAATGTCTGTCTAAAAACCTTCCAAAGTGCAAACACCTCTGCAAAAGGCAACTATTGACGCTCCTGTCCTCGCGTGGTGGCCCCCTGCTTTTGCTGGCGGTTCAAGCTTCGCTCAGAACGTTGAATGCACGCGCTGAAGTGACTTGGATCTACGGTAGGTCTTCTCGCTATGATCGAGCTGGCCGAGCTAAGCTGAGCTGAGCTGAGCCGGAGCCTGAGGCTGGAGACACTGCCCGATTTACCAGATTTTGACAGGGTTAACATCTTCACGAGTTTCTTAACCACGCAATTGCGCACAAGGCAGATCGCGGGTTTTGCACATGATTTTGCATGATTTACGATATTTAATTTCAAATTAACAATCTCCATACCAAATTAAAGACTACGGTAGGTACCTACCACCGTCCACGTACCAATTTTCATGTTCTTCATTTTGGTTCATACGAATGCGCGCAAGAGCCTGAGGTGGCGTGCGTGCGCAGTGGGAACAAGCTTTAACCTGATCTACCCGGTAAATTCAGATGCCTGGTACCACGGTACCGGTATCACCTGTGGCCCTGTGGGTCCTTCTGTGCAAAGGGCAGTTGAAAAAGAACTTTCGAGAACACTGTCGAAAGGACTCGAAACGCGTGCAACCGGGCCAAGATCCCCGTCGGTACCAACCGCTTTCACATCTTTACTACTTCATCGTCGCCGTTCGTTGCTCGTGTTGAAACTTTGATGTGTCGACCTTCGCTTCTCTTGCTTCGTCTCAGAGCATTTTTTGATGGATCGTTGCAGTTTGTCAGAGTCTAAGAGTCTCGAAGGTGAATCCTGGAGTTTGCATGTACCAATCTCCCGTGTGTGTTTTTCGGCTCTCATCTATGAATTCTTGGAATTGCCATACAGGTTGTGCAGCTCATAGCCTCATACGTCCTGGTTCCAACTCTACTTTGGCTAGTACTATTTGTTTGCATGCATAGATTTGCACTTGCTACCATGGCGCGTTCTTGTTTAGTGGTGATCAATTGGATTGCGGTACACGGTATGCCATGCTTGTAGTCATAAGGAGGAGGATCAGCATGGAAAATTAGCCCTAGCTAAATTATCTTGGCTTAATGCAAAACTAAGTCAGAAGACTTGGAGCGCATTGTCCGGTCTCCACTGCAATTAGGTCGAAAAGCCTTCAGGCCAATGCAAGCTTTTGCTTCAACTTGAGCCGCCTCGATGTATGTAGTGACCTTGTGTCGGGCGCCAGATGTTTAATGCATATTTTCGAGTTTGGAGGTCACCTCAGCCAAGCTACATACCCTCTCAGCTAAGGGAGTGCTCCTCCTCGCATGTCTGACCATTTAGTTGTAACAGGCTGACGGGGGTTCATCGCAAATCCATGAACTACCAAGCGTCCGACCTGTCTTCAATCAACGTGTAGCACAATCTTTCCAAAGTCAGATCCAATGTAACGCGACTACTTGCTTTCCGACGAATCATCTTTGAAAAAGGTTTTCCGAGTTCTCTCCACGTCCCCACATAGCCCTAGAGCATTTTCGAAGAAACCTTTCCATTGGACACCGAGCTCGAGGCTTGACGTAGGAGAAAGCAACGAAATAAAGTCCTTCGCATGAAGGACGTACGAAACTTCGCCACTTGCATCCCTCGATTCCTGGCCCGTGCTGCTCGCCTCTCTGGTGGCGTCCCTGGCATGCGTAGTCCCCTCGAGTGGGGTTCGAGGGGACATCTTGTTGACATCCGTGCCATTCCTTCTTCCGCGGAGCCGCTCGTTTGCGCCTCCAACTACAAACAAATATGTGTATCCTCCCTGAGCCATGGCTTGCAAAGCGCTGCTAACCGTAGCTCCCCGACCTGCCACGAGCGCCCCATGCTCTTCTGAAGCCCCCTCCGTCCCTCCTTGATCTGCTTCGGCAACGCGAGAGCTCGAACTTGCTTCGAGCTGCCCTGCTGCATCCGGGGTGCCCTGCTCGCCCGGGCTTGCCTCATGTCGGACGCTGTCATCGAGAGTACGGACCCCTGGGCCAAACTCGCCCACATACTCCCCCACGCTCACCTTCCTGCACGAAACACGCACGCAACTCTATTTAGAGTTCTGACCGGGATGCATGGCTTGCTGACGGAAAGGAAGTCCTGAGGACTGTCATTGCTCTGGATATCAACTCGCCAGCTCGCGAAGGATAGACGACCACGAAGAGCTTACTCATGTTTATCGTGGCTCAAAGATCGCTCCATTCAACTGCACGGTCTTCGTGACGAATTCGAGGATACTTCTCGAGACATACGTCTTATGAACGGCGAGCATGCAAAGTCAAGTGTGAGCAAGCGAGGCGAAATTACGCCTTGGTCGAACTTGCTAAGAGCACGTGCCGGGACCTGCTCGAGCTCTTATTCGGTTCACAACGAGTGGCAACGGCTCACACGAGCGACCAAAGATTCTTGGGCATGGCAGAGTAGATGAACAAGTAAAATGCCTTGTGTATCTGAGAGAAAAGCTAGTGACAGGGGCCGATGCCAAATCTGAATGTGCCTTGAATGGGCGACCCAGTAGCATCAAGGAGCCGAAGCGAGGTCAATGCGTAGGTATGCTTTCGTTACTTTTCCAAGGTCGTTTCCAAGTACACTAGAGACAGTGATGGCCACGACTCACCATCTCTGCAGGAAGAGCCCCGGCTTCTTCACCAGCCTCACTGCATCCCGCTCCTCGAGGTGGCCCACGAGGGTGGCCCCTATCCCGGTTTGATCGACAATGGGCAAGGCCGCATGCCCCGTTCGACACAGCTGGAGCAGGGCGGCTGCTAGGGGCATGCTACTGGCGACACTGGCCTCCATACAACTCTCGCTTAGCTGAGACAGTGTCCGCTGGGCCAGCAGTTCATCGAACCACTGCAGGCCTGACATCTTGCTGAGGGCGGACAGGAGCCCTTGCTGGGATAGGTAGCCCTGGATAGAAGGCACAGGGGCAGGGAGGGCGGGGCTTGGACCCGAGGACGTGTTGAACGGCAGAGAGGAGATGAGGGGAATGACGGAGGGCCCGTGCTGCGCTACGAGCGAGATGGCGTCCATGACGCTTGAGGACGATGACAGAGGTAGAAAGGGTTGCCAGTAGCGCGTGCGCGCTAAGCTGGTCACCTGCAGAACGACGTGAAGGTCTGAGAGCCGCAGTTTCGGCTGAGACCGCACACAGTGCAGATTGTAGCGGGTTGGACCAGGTGCAGAAATAGTCGGCCAACTACGATTTGAAAACTTTGACATGAGATTCCCGCTCCTTCCCGGCTCTTAAACATGCTCAGCCCTGCACGGTCTTGGTTGAGCACGGGATATAAGTGTCAGTTCTCACCTTTACATGCCAGCATGCGAAATGGGACATGGCCTCCTTGAAGTCTTGCAAACTATCCCCATGTGTGTGATGGCCTGGGGTCTGGTCACCAAGGGGCACAGCTGCTGCATCCGAATTTGGTTCCCTGCCTACATCTGGGACAGGAAGACAGCGCACGTCTTTCAATCCTCCAGCTTCATGTGGCCTGGTTTCTGTCTCACGTATTTTCACAATTCGGGTCTCTCTCGATTTATTCAAAGCCCCAACCGAAATTGATCTCGAGGTGAGGAGTAACGGAAATAACAGGGTCTAATGCCACTATTTGAGAGAGTTGGAAGGTCCAAACTGACCAGCCAAATCGATGCCCGACATCAGAGTTGTCCACTTTGTTGCCAGCTTATAATCTGAACTGTTTAAAACTTGTTGAACAGCATAAGAGCAGCCTGAGACATCTTGGACAGGGCTGCACGCACCTTCGCCAGTCCATTTCCAGGCCAGCAGAAGGGGCACATCTACACCATCTGGATTGACTGCGTCTGCTGCCAGCTCCGCAGCAGGCGGCACTGGGCTGCCTGGCTGGCTGGCTGATTGATCATCATGCTCTGCTCTATCAGCCTGCTCCAGTGACCAGAGGACGAGCCACGACAACTGCACCAACCCCAAACAGCAGCCAAGAGAAGGGGCGCCCCTCAGAGAATCTGCTTGCACCTCCCAGCTATCCGAATCGACGACAACTGCCAAAGAAGCATCCTGCGCCGAGAGCAGTTCGATGGCAGCACCGACCGTACTATGCGAAGGGATCTCCACAGCTGCACCACCAGCAAGACATGTTAGATCATTTGAGCAGGAAACTGTCAATCTGCAAGTAAGGGCATGGTATTTCTGCTCACAGGTAGAGAGCAAAGATGACCAGGGGGCTCTGAAAAAAGGTGGCCCAGCTTGAAATGGACACAGATGCACGCTGTCCATGACCATCCGAGGAGACGCAACTACGCTTTCACAGACCAAGGGTTTGTAAGGAGAAGTATGGAACTCGTTGCAGCTGGAAATAGCAAAGCAGTTTCAATTCATTGAAACATTGACTGCATGTGTATAAAATTGACAGTACTCTCCCCCACAAGGAACTTAGAGATTAATCAAGAGAAGACACTACTTGCCTTTCACTTCTTTCTCCGAGCACTGGAACATCGAGACTGGCACCTCAGATAGAAGGGCTGCTAGAGGATCTCCTCTATTAGTACGAGACCGCTTGAGCACTGCGTCTGTCATTATTGTCGCACCTGCCTCTTTTATTGGCAGAATCCGAGGCCTTGAGGGCTTCAGCACTGAATCCATAACACTCTCATTATGCTTGATGCCACATTGCAGCTGCAATGACCCTGCAATTCAATCATCCAATGATGCTGGTGCAGGAAGACACTACTTGTTCCCACGCGGTTGACAACCTGCAACATTCTTTTAACACTACTTCAATTTCAAATTGAAGGCAACTTGGAGGCTCAGCTCTTGCAGCACGAAACGACAGCTGAACTAGTGCCAGCGAAGTCATCATGGCCGCTTCCAATTCTGCAGCCCCCCCAATTCTCCATCCTTCTTCAGCAAGTCAAATGTTGATTATCCAGTATAGCCTGCAGTGGCTTCGAGGCACTTCGAGAGCCAAAGGACTTCAGACGACATTTCCCTGACAAAGCACAGCAAGACGAGGGCATTCTCCTCCTTCAAAGCACAGCAAGACGTGCGACCTTAGTCCTTGGTTTGCTGGCTTGATCTGAGCTGAGGCTGAGGATCTGCTGCGCCAGCACAAGTCTCCATACCGTGACATCTGTGACCTGCCTAATGTATAGAGGACCTATATATTACATCTGCCAGCCAATTTGCAGCTATGTATACTCGATATGTATCTTCAGATACGGTACCGTGTTAGCGCCCAAATTCTGTTGCTGGTAGCCGGTTTCTCATAGAAGCAATGACTTGTTGATTGTGGTTTTGCAGTGCCTCATCCTCCTATGACATTCCAAAAATATCCCAATATACTTAGTCGGTTCTCTAGAGTCTCTCGAGTCTCAGAGTGAAAGCTGGATTGCAGGCAGATTCTGATCAGAGTACCGAACGATCGCTGCCATTGGCATTGCACTTGAAGTTGAACGTTGCACGTACAGCGCGAACAGGAGTTCGCTGATCAGGAGACGCATCAAGGATCAGGGCGGCACCGGGGTCGATGCATGTTTACATTACTGGTGCTATCGTCGTCTTCTAACAAGAATCGTGACCTGCTTGCATAGTGAGCACCTTTCGAATAAACAACATACATTGAAGCAGTACGCTTGTGGTTTCTTGCAAATATTTAGTTCCAGCCGCTCAAGGCAATGGCAACATCTGTTGCGAGGGCACCACTTGCGCCATGGGCGTCATCGCACATGCAAGCCCAAACGGGTGGCGACAATGTCCGGAGAGAAGTTGGGTTCTGCGTGCTGGCCAAATCATCAAGAACACGTCAGAGTCTGCATGTCTGCACCAGGAGCTCTTTCAATGGTAGGCAGATCAAGCGGAGCTGCAAACCATACAGCCAGCCTGTAGCTGGGCGTACGGTCACATCTGCCTCGTTGGGCAACTTCTTCAACAGATCGGATGAGAAACCTGAAGCGTCGGCACCGCCATACTTTGAGGACGCTGAGCAAGACAGGGTACGGCAAAGTGTTGCGATCAGGCTCAAGCGGGCTGCATCAGAATTTCGGAGGTAGCTGCTCTTCAACCTTTGGCCGCTTTTGGCCGTTTGATTTATGACAATATCACAATATACGGAAGGAGTAATAGGACTTAGTGCAGCATTGCCTCGCGGGCTCGTTGAAGTGTGCACCCGTTGTTTTGTTTCATGATTGTCTTCACTTTTACCTCGATGAAAAGTGGTGTTGCAGTGCCTTCTGATTTTTCCATTCCTTGGAAATCTCTGTTTCTGTATGTGGTGACTCTGTTTGCATATGACCAGTTTCGCTCATCTTGGTTGTCACCCTCCATGCAGGTGGGGCAACTGGGGTTTCTGGGTGCAGCTTGTGACAGCGGTCGTGTCGGCGGTGATCCTCGCCTTCTCCGTAGCCATCACTGGCCAGGCCACCAATGCTATCAGCGCATACCTCACCGCCGGGGGCATTGTGGCGGCCTTCATCTCCGTGTTCAACTTTTTCCGCTTCTCGCGCCTCGCCAGAACGTTCGAAGAGAGCGCAGAGAATCCTGACAAGGTGAGATTCCCAATGGAATCTATTGGGGCCTCTTGAACGTCTTGCACATACTCTCCAAGTACGGTACTTTAGTTGGCAAGACACAACTTACCGTAGGACATTGTCGCAAACCTTCGCTCATCGGATGTTTATTCCTGGTTGGGCCAGGCCCCCTCCCGCGCGGCCGTCATCAAGAAGCTGAGCAACGGCCTCATCCTGAACATGGTGGGCCTGGCCGCCACCTTGCTGGGGGCGCAGGCCACGGTGGGCCTCCTTGTGGCCAAGGCACTCACCTCCCAGTCCCAGCCGTACCTCGCAAACACCCCGCAGGGCTTCTCACCAGTGCTGGCACTCGACGTCTTCCTCGTCCAGGTGAGGCGCTGCGGCTTGGTGTCTCGATGCTATTCGTTGGGTTGGATTGGTACGTAGCTGGTTGCTTCTGCAATCAGCCGGCTATCTTTGAAAACGAGATGGATAGGACGTCTAAGCAGGAAGAGAGGATGTCTGAGGAGAAAGAGGAGGATGTCTAAGCAGAGAGCTAGTTGATGGTTACCTTTTAGTTGTTGCCTTTATTTGGACCTTGTCCGTTGAGACATTGCTTGAGCCGAAAGGTTTTTGTCTAAGGTTCCCTCTCGTGTACCGGGCTGGTCCATGAAAGAATCATCGGTTGTATCTGCATCTGGCTCAGAAATTTCTCTGTCACATTCGATGAACTTTCAGCGTCACCCTTGCAGGCATCCTTCAACGTGGTCACAGCGCACTTCTTTGGTTTGCTGTTCCAACTGCTCTTGCTCCGCTCAACGACCACCTCTCCGCCGCCCCCAGAGTCCGTGATCCCCAAACCTGCTTAAAGCAAACCGGCCACTCTAACATGCACGGACGTAGCTCAGGGAATGAAGTTGCTTGCCTTAGTTCTTAAGCAGTCTGAGTCGAGACTTCCACGATCCTTCAATAAGATGCAAATGTATAGCTACTGCTAGAGCTCGTGTATTCTGGGAACATGGACTTCTGCACTAACTTGAGCCGATTGAGTTGGGAAGCCTTCTTTATTGATTTGATTCCGTGTTGCGATGTAATTTAGATGATGTATGCAATTAATCTGCGGAGCCATGGGCCGGCCAGGAGCTTTATCTAGAGGTTGATTGCGTATATGACGAATATATAACGTATATGTTCGGTGCCAGTACGTACTACTAACTTGCAATGAAGGATATACCCTCACAATTCATGCAAACGCCGTGCATGCACACGCGTTCGTATTGTACCGATCCATCGGACTGCCTATATACTATATGCTGCGTGATGCCCGCGGCAAATTGTAAATTCCCAAATGTGCTCTGATCATCGGATTCATATCTTGAATTTTCACTTGGCCCTTAACATTCGAATGCATGTTTCATGGCATGGTGCAGTGACTAGCTAGCTCTTGCCAAATTGCCTGCACGCTCATGTGCAATGATTGTGCACGACCACACAAGTACACTGCAGCAATTTTATATCTGTCGGGTAGGATCGCCAAATCAAATTGGACTCCATTGGCTCGATCGAAGCCTGAAGCTTGATCAGCCTCTCAACCTATGTTACTTTTCCAGACGGCTTAGTTCGCTCCGATTCATGTAACGGCTTGCTGCATAATGAATGTACGGTTCTCGATCCTTCATGTAGCCCCGTTGAGAATGAATCTATACTTCTTCGAAGCGACAAATTGAGAACCCGACCTTGGTCAACGCCAGCCAGGGCTCTCGAGCAAGCATGATGTTACAGACTACCTATGCTAAGTCCTGAACTTACGCGTGCACATACCTGATAGAGCTAAGCCTATCTGCAAAGACCTAGTATGGACAGAAAAGTATGGACAGAAAAGTGCTCTTCACGAGAACGACGCAACGGCCTTTTCCTAGAGCGATTGGAGCTCGTCCCGAAGCCACTCCAGCTCTCTTTCCATTTTGCGGCCCATCATTTGTCGCCCAAATGGAGTGATCAGATTATAGTGGAGTATCTGCAGCGCAAGAAAATGAACACCTGAGCAAAGAAAGCAACAGCTCCTCTTCCCGTCTTGGAAGTTCGTGCCCAGCACACTCGGATCGTCTGAACCATTCACCCGCAACTCCTGTCAGGCGTAATTGGGCCCCAACTGTGTGAAACGAACTTCGTATGCCTGGCGAATAAAAGGCAAGAGAGCTCATGTCCGGTCACCTTCCGATTGATCTCTGCGAGTCCCGCCTCGAGCCTTGGTCTTTCGTCCTCCCAGCTCGTCTCTACTTCCTTTGCAGACGTGCCACGTTTCCTGAGCCATGCCGCCTTCAAAGCCGCTCTCCACTTGGAGGTGGCTTGCCGGATGTCCTTGTTCAGCGTCACCCACTCGGGGGCAAAGCCGCTGTTGCCCAGGACGCGCGACGCAAGGTCTTCAGCGGCATCTGCAGCTAAAGGTGCCCCCTGTCAGCTGAGAACTACTTTGTTGACATTGAGCAAAGGATCTGCAATTAGGGCTGAATGGCATGGACGTCCAGAAGTGACATACTTTTGACGATCTGCCCAGGATGATGAGCAAGATCCTCCTAAGCAACCGGTCCAAGATTACAGTTTTGTTATGCAAGCTCGTCAACATTTAAAGGCACATGCGATTGAGTTGCCCTCGGAATGGAACAACTTCTGATCACGCAGTGAGAGGTTTGGAAGGGGCCGTTGACTTGCCTATGTGCGGATTCTTCTGGGCTTCCAAGGGCTGCAGCATATGGACCAGGAATCAGCTACTCTCTGACTGGAAGTTTTGATTTACCTACTTTCCACCTGTATCCACTCTACTCAAGCTTGGTGCCACGGTGTTGCTCTGTGGAACATGCTGACATTCCTGCAATCCATTGGCAAAGTGGGGGCATGCACGCGTGCGCAAGCAACCTGCCAGCTCCGGCACAGGGTTTGGGACCGACCTTCCCATGACCAGGCAACTTGTCAAAGTCGCCTTCCCGCATGGACTGCTGGATCCGCTGTTCGACCACGCCCACCAGCTCTGCCTCTGACTGGAATGACAAAAGAGGAGCAGCGTCGATGACCTCGTCTCCAAAGGATCTTATGAGTTGCAAAAGCTCCTCGTCTGTGTTGAGGTATACGAAACTTTCAAAAAAGATCCAGGAGTGTGCAAGAACTGTCTTTTGTTATGTCTAAGCATAACACAGTTGAGTTGTCCCACCAGCTCACCGTACGCAGCCCTGCAATAGGTGAGGTATTTGAACCTTAGGAACTGAAATTGAAATGTCGGTGAAGCATCACCAATCCATCAAAGATCAGCCCATCTGGTACTGCTCCAGGAAGACCTCAATGTTGGAATTCGCCGACAAATGACGCCTTGCCACGTCGAGAAGCAGTAGCTAGAACGCACCTTGATGATGTCATCTCTGTTGCGCAGCTCTGGCGGCAGCCTCCGTTCATAGAGCGCCCATTTGACCTTCTGTAGCCTCTCAAGTGTCTCTTGGTGGCCCCCTTTTTTGGACTTCTTTTGGGAACTGTCACGGGCAGGTTGTCCGGTACCAATCTCTCTAGGCTCTGAATTGCTATGGAGTGCTCTGGAAAAAAGAGAGGGATCCAAGCAATGCTGCGTGTTTTGAGTTTGTTGCAACAAAGCTGATGTTTGAAGCAGAAAGTTTTCGATTGGCAAAAAGCCAAGGGGCGGACTAGTAATAAGAGAGCCAGTGTGGCTGGCTTTTTTTGCTTCTTCCCCTCGAAGTTGCTCGTTTGAATGATCGAGGACTGGCCCCGTTCCCACCTTTTCAAAGCACCTCCCTTCAAAGCGACCCAAGATACGCAACAGTCCTTCTGGACGTCTCCTAAGGAACGCTTGTCCGCAGTCCCACAACAGCCTGCCCCGCGTGGCCAGGCGGTCCATAGCAGTGTTAGCACCTCAGGCCCTCACCATTGGCATGCGCCAATCCTTTCTACACGGACAGAGAAACAACATGCTCCTCGAAGGTTGTGTTGGTTTGATCGAAGTTCGGCAGCCAGGGCCCAGGGCCAGGGCCGGGGCCAAGTCAAAGCAGAGAGCTTGGTGCAAAGGGCAATTAGGGTTAGTTGCTTAACTCGGATTAAGTAGGGGTAAACCGTAACTGTAGTTAGGTAAACCAGTGCTGCTACTACAGTACTGTACTGTAGCTGCGCAGACTTTGCACATGAATGATGACATGCAATGCCACTTGAAGCTAAGTGTTTGGGTCATTCATTTATTCATTGTGTACAGATTTGGTTGGCTGACTCATGGCGGTGGGCTTTAGCGCCACCATCTCTGTTCCGTGTTGGTGCGCAATTGCATAGGCGCTTCAAGCAAAGCTTCCAAGATGGACTACGGGGCCTCCACCAGGCTCATGGAGCTGCTCGAATCAGCAACCCAGGCAAACAAGCGGACGGTGGAGGCTGAGACCCTGAAAAGTGCGAAGGCCATGCTGCGGGACTCAGATGACCACGTGCGCAGGGCCTACGAGCTGCTTTTGTTTAAGCTCAAGGATGGCAGCTCCCAGGTGCGTTTGCCCACTTCCGCAGCTTGCATGTCCACAACCTGGGTGGCCGCCCCTCTGAGGGCTGGCCAGGCTCGTGTTCTTGCTTGCTCAAATGGAGAATTGCATGTGCTACAGTCAGTACAAACTCATATTAGAACGCACCACCTTTTTGAGGGTATGCCCTGTGTCTCTTGACCGGCAGCATGCCGTGTGGCAGGTGCGCTACTTGGCGTTGCTGCTGGTGGACGAGATCTTCCGTCGCTCTTCGCTGTTCCGGGGTCTGCTGGTCCCTGTCCTGGAGACCTTTCTGGAGCTGACGGTGGGCACGCGCACCGAGAAGCCCCTCCCAGACCCGCGCGCAGCAGCCAAGCGATTGCAGGTCAGGCTCAGAGGCAGTCGAGATCAAGCCCCGGCCTGCTTTGAAAGTCAAGTGCGGTGTTCTTGTCCTTTCTCCTGCTCAATGAGAGTGTCATCTCTAGGCAGGCCAGACACAAGGGGCTTCCTTCACTGAGATGCCCCCTTGGGCCCTGGGGAAAAAGAGATGACAGGCGCTCGATGAAGCTTCTTCTTCTCGAGCCTGCCCCTGAACACATGCCGTTGACAGCGGTCTCAGGGCAAGTTCTCAAAGGCAATGCAAGTCCTGTATGCCCATGCAGAAGAAGGCGATTGAGGTGGTGGAGCGGTGGAACGCCGACTTCGGGTCCCGCTACCGGCAGGTGCGGCTGGCGTACAAATACCTGCGCGACGTGCTGCGCATCCCCTTCCCCAACCTGCCCCTGCGCGCGCGCGAAGCCGAGCAGGCGCGCCGCGAAGCCGAGAGGGCAGCGCAGGAGGAGCAGGTCGAACGCTTCCGGCGCCTGGAGGGAGAGTGGGGGGGTTCCAAGGCAGAGGTGCAAGCGCTGCTGCGACAGCTGGACGAGTCCCTGGCGCTGCTCAAGGGGGGGGGAGAAGGGATTCCGGGTGAACCACCTTCTGACCAGGGCCCTGGCTTGGACACTGGTTTTGATGATGGCGCCGCACTGGGGGGCTGGGAGGAGGGTAGGGGCCAGCTTCTGGCGGAGACGGCGGAGAATGCGGCGGTGGTGGAGAGTGTGCGCGACGTGTACCGCGCGCTGTGCCAGCGGCACCTCAAGGCGGCGCAGGGCTGGCTGGCCACGCTCATGAGGGGGGGGGCGCCGCAGCCGCCGCAGCAGCGGGCAGCGCATGAGCGGCTGCTGGGGGAGGTGGTGGCGCTGCGCAGCGACATGCTGGCAGCCAAGGCCAGGTGCGAGGGGCTGGGGGTGGAGCTGCGGAGGCGACGACTGCCGGCTGCGGGGGAGGCAGAGGATGGGGAAGACGACGAGATGTGGGAGGAAGGGGAGGTCCCGTCGGGGGAGCCTCCGACAGCGGACTTGAACGGGGACGAGAGCGAAGAGGCGCAGGAGCGGCAGGCACTGGGGCTTGTGGCGGACGACGAGGCAGCGGCCGGCGATGCGGGTTTGGAAGATGCTGTGAGAGATCTGCTGGGGGTACTGCCCGGAGATACGGCAGGGACTCCAGAGGTTCAGGAGGGAGAAGCCTGGGTGCCTCCGCAGAGCAATCTTGTACTCAAGCCGGGGGGAAAGGGCCTGGCGCACCGCGAAGGTCTTGGCATGCTGGGCAGTGGGGGGGTTAACGGGACACTTTCGATCAAAAGGAAGGGGGAAAGGGCGACTGTGTTGTCGGCCCCTACTGGACGGCGGGCCCCAGCCAGTGCAGATGGAGCGTTGCAGGCAAGCATGCCGGGCCAGCCTGCGGCTTGGGTGGAGACAGAGGCGATCGAAGTGGACGAGCCAGAAGGACGAGAGGTGGGGCCGTCAGAGAGGGCCACGGACAGTGAACATGCAGACAGGAGAGGGATGCCCAGCAGCAGATCGGACGGCCCCGCCCAACCAAGCTTTCAGGCACGGCCTCTGCCGGGGCGGTCAAAAACTCCGCCACGGTTGCAGAGAGATCCGACCCGCCCCAAAGAAGCCCGGTCCGCAAATGGCCCCGCAGGCGAAGCTAGTACAAGCAAGCCAGGCGCTGCAGGCAGTGCACCTGTCAACGCGGGTAGTCGCGCCGTGGCCCGTTCGGCCGGAGGCAGTCCGTCCTTCGAGGAGCTGCGCGCGAGTGCGCCGGTGGTGCCGTGGGGGGCGTACCTGGACCACTGGGGTGCGGAGGGGACTGTCCCCGTGGACGCGCGCGGGCTGGTGATCGAGAACCACTGGGGGCCGGTGGACCGTGAGGCAACGCTGCCGGCAGAGCGGCTGCGCGAGATGAACCTGCGCGCGTCGTACTACCAGCCGGAGAAGAAGGAGATCAAGGTGAGGGCAGCTACTTGCGGGAAGGAAACCTCGAGAAGCGAGGGCGCCGGTGCGTTTCAGGTCGGAAGAAACACTTGCGTGAGAGTCATCGAAGCTGTGACGGTCAGCTCAAATTTCTGAAAGGAGCACGTCGAACGGGGATCTCTCCGCAGTCTGGCGCATCGTGGTGGGCACTTCGTGGGAATGGCACGTTTGGCTTGAAGCGGTTTGTTCGTTATCTCTCGGCTCCGAGTCGCGTTCGCTTTGATCGCTTGCTTACTGGGTGCTGCTAAGGTAAGAGGTTGCGAAGCAGCACATCTTCGGCTGGGTTGCAAGGATGGCATTTTTCACTTCCCCCTGTCCGCTGTTACCCTGTTGCTTAAATTGTCGGTCCTTCCGTTACCCATGTCATTCCCATCTGCGCCCCAGGCTTGCCGGGCCCCCCTTCCCGGCGGAGGCCTGTGTCCCCGCCGCGACCTCGTGCGCTGCCCCCTCCACGGCCCCGTTATTCCGCGCGACGACCAGGGCCGGCCCGTTATACCAACGGCAAATAACGAGGCGGCGACGGCCCTTGCCCTAGAGGCTGCTGCCTCTCGCAGGCAGCCTCTCGTCCGCGCCGCAGACATCGAACGAGGCATCGAGGGAAGCGACGATGTGGCAGCTGCTGTCAGCAGCGGGGCGGGCCCCAGCATGGAGAGCGACCGAGACGGCGACGCCATGACAGCGGAGCAGGCAGAGTTGCTGCAGAGCGCGGCGCGGCAGGCCGTGGAGAACGTGCGCAAGCGCGGGCGGGAGGAGGCGGAGCAGAAGCAGGCCGCGCGCAAGCGGGGCGGGGTGTCGGCGCGCGAGCGGTTGGCGGACCGTGCTCACAACGAGGCGGTGCTGCGGGAGGCGGCCGTCCGGGGCAGTGTGCAGCGGCTGGGGGAAGAGATTGGCGGGGGGGAGGAGAGCCCCGGGGGTGCTGCAGAGGAAGCGGAGGGGGCCGAGCCGCAATCAGGGCGAGGCAGCAAGGAACGGCGGCGAGGGAGAGGCGGGGGCAGGGCGGGGGCAGCCCAGCTGACGCCGCGGCAACGGATCCAGCGACGGCTGCTGAGCGCACGGGTTCGAAACTCGACCACCAGTTACCTTGAGTCGGAGGAAAACAAGCACTTTCAAACAATGAATGCGAATCGGTGGGAGAACCGATAAGCGCAATAAAACACGTCGCTTATCGGGACCGCCATCTGTGCAACGTAACCTTTGAAACTACGTCATGCCGATCTTCAGTGGCACCCTCATCACAAGTCCGCATGGTTAGCAGTGCATGCATTAAGCTAGGCCTTTGACATGCAAGCTCACGTAGCAGCTGGCCTATTTTGCACATGACGTAGGCTGTCCTTGCAACGCCCCCTTGCCTAGGGCTGGCTATATTTATTAACGTAAATTCTTTGTACACTTTAACCCTCGCGTTATCCGACGCACATGGCAAGCTCAAATCTCGTTTGCCTGGAAGCCCGCCAAGGTATACTCGACATTCGTCGGTGCAGCCGCGCCGGCCTGCCCATAATTCTTTGGTTCATATAGACGCTGTACTAGACGGTCAGGCCTTTCAATTTGAATTCAGTTTGCTCCTGCATGTACGTTCAATAGAACTAAGATGAATTATCCAGCCGCGCAATTAATTTTGATTGAAAACGTACCCATCACGGCCGCGATGCATGGGTTTTATTGGCCCGGCCGGTGCGGCCACCATTTTGTATATTTACGTACTAGGCCGCGGGCCGTGTGTAAATTCCACTGGGTTGGACTAAGTTAACATGCATCTCATGTTGTCTCATGATGCTGGATCTGGCACTTTGGCGGCATAAGCTCTATAGTTGATCCGTCTAGTGCCCACCGCATCTCGGTGCCGTAACGCAATTAACTCTGGGCGCGGCCGCGTCACAATGATTGCATCCGATACTGATCGAGCTGTCCGAGTCAGACGTATTGACGGTCGCGCCCGCAGCTAAGATGCTCAAATGAATCCGCATATGACAATTTATGCGTGAATCACGAGCTAGTAGATCATGATTTGGTCATTTCGATCTTAACTAGTTCCAGGCGAGCCTGTTGCATGACGTTCAATTATAAGCACGACCGTCCTTTTCAAACACTTATGAATCATGCTAATCAAACCTTTCTCTGGAGGCATGCATGAGGGCGCAAAGATAGCTGGTGCACGATCGCGAGCCTGCCCATCTCATGGCTGATACCGGCCGTGTCGTATCCGATTACGGTTTATGTTCTATCGTAACAAATTGGTCTATGGCTTTTGGTTTAAAGAAAGCATATCTGTACAACTCAATATTACAACTTAGGAAAATTGTCTACTTTAGATACACTTCCTGCTCTTTCGTGCGTTTAGTACATGCACTCTTCTCTTACTGGAAAGCATCTAGTAAGGAGTAACAGCTCGGGTTTCCAACAGGGTGCCGTGGATGTGAGGCCCGCCTCGGAGCGTGGGCGTACCGCACCATGACGTGACCTAAGAAGACGACACGGTCGCTCCCGGGACTACGCCCTCAAAGAAATCCTTGAAATAATCCTTGGGCTCCGTCACAAACCTGAGGCAGACAAGAACTCCACGTCATACTTGCTCGAGGCATGCCACTTAATCAAACCTGTTCACCGAGGAGACGGCCAAAGCCCTCGGCAAACTCCGTCGTGCACTCGTTTACTCACCGTTTGCTACCTTGGCGTTGCAGCTCCGCAGACATTGCAAAAATCTACCAACTTCTGCAGATAGACGTGCGCATGAATGCTCGCTGTCCAGCTAGGCCTGGCGAATCTTTCGGGCCAGCTGACGTCAGACCGCGCCCCCTCTGCGGCGCTCACCTGCTGATGATCCAGCGCAGCGTGACGACCCCCTGCACGCGGCGCTGCGCGTCGACGACGTAGATGCGGTGGATGCGCGCGCGGCTCAGCGTGGCCACCACGTCGGCGAGCGTGCTGTCGGCGGTGCACGTGATGGGCGGACTCATGGCGGGGCTCGTCGTGTCCAAGTGCAGGTCGGCGATGGGGGACGCCGCGCCCGCGCTGCTCACGAACTGCCGCACCGTCACCTTCCTGCGACGGAGATGGCAGGGTCAGGTTGGAAGGTGGGGCCGGGGATGCGGGAGTCATCGGCCAGCTCAAGGCGACGGGTGCAATTTCTGGGGATCTGGAGGTGGCGCACAGCACCTCGAAGAAAGGCGGCCATTGTCCCAGTACTACGAACTGTTTAAAAGCCCGAGTTCGGCAGAGCGAGGCCTACACTAGGCGCCTTCTTTATGCCAGCACAGACGCCAGTCAACAGTGCATCGCCTTATGCAAGTGCGGGCTGTGCGCACTCACTCGCGCTCAGCGTAGTAGTCGGGGGAGGTGAGCAGAAAGCGGATGTCGCGTGCCGACACGTTGCCGATGATGGGCCCGCCCTCGCCGTCCAGCACGGGCACGCCGCCCACGCCGCGCTCCTTCATCAGCTGGAACGCGGTGAGAACGGGGCTGTCGCCCGACACTGACACCACAGCCGCGGGGGACAGCGACAAGCCCAGCTGCAAGCGCACAGCGCAACCGTGAGTGTGGCGATAGTCGTCTGTAATGACGTCCGTTCAATGGCCCCGTGTGGTTATTGACTCGAACTGACACGACGATAGACAAATGAAGCGAGGCCGCCACGACCAAATTTTCGCAGGCTGCAGGGAGTGTAATTATCTATCACTTTGCAACCTCGGTCTGCCTACGAGGGTTCCCTTCGCCCCTCTGCGGCGCACCTGCGTGAGCGTCTTGTTGGCGACACTGTCGTACCAGTCGGTCCCTGCGCAGTCCGCCAGCCAGCGCACAATGGCGGACTGCGTGACCAGGTTGCGTAGCGCTCCGCGGCCGGGCTCCACGACGGGGACGCTGCGCAGGCGGTACTTGCTGGTCAGCAGCAGCAGCGTCAGCAGGCGGTCCTCCAGCTGCACCGGCAGAAAGGGGCCCCACCGGAACGTGCCCGCCACCGCACCCACCTGCGCGCAGAACACGGGCGGGCCAAGGCTTGATTTAAGCGAGCCCGGCACAACACCAATCGACATTGTTACAAGACTGAAAATACGAGACACCTATGGAAGCGGGGGCCTTGGGCGACGTACAGGCGTCTCAACGTTGTGGGCTCGCTCCAGAACAAGTCATTTCATCGTAACACGAGATTTCAAGGGGTCTAGTTTGGGCCACGAAACCTAGACCAGGATCTTGACAGTCTGTCTGCCCGGTATGGCGAACTTGGCTGAACGCGATGAAGAATACGGCATACAATGGCCAGTTCTCAGTAAGGACGTTGAATAAAAACAAAAGCTGTACGTCAAGAGGCCGAAGTACCTTCTTCTTTGTAAAGGCTCATGGAGACATGCTTTCTGAGGTCTGATAAACTTTTCACATGTAAAGTAAACATGAAGGGACTTCCGCTGATTCCAGTCTCCAAAAGTTGCAATTGAATCCGCTTTTGCAGTGCAATCGAAGTTTGAACTTCGATCACCGCACCTACAAGTTTCTCCAAGCCCAACGACTATTCTCAAAACCCGTTCCCTAGACGTCCTCATACTTCGCACTTGCCTCACCGTTGTTGTTTTGAAGTAGTCCGTCTCTTGCAGGGCTTTATAGAAGTCCCCCTCCATGTAATCCGCTGCCGCCGGACCCGAGCTGGCAGGGCCCCCCGAGGTGGACACACCTGCACACAACAGGCACTCAGGTGCTAAACTCCCAGATTTTCGAAGATGCAGTGCAACGAAGTAGGATTACGTCGCTGCTATGTCGGGCTGGCAAATCAAAACAAACACATCACCTCTTTCGAGTTTTCTTGCCAGTATACGCCGATTGTGGCAACCGTGAGACCATAGTACCTGGACAAACGGAACCCACTTCCTCAGGCGTAGCTAGCGGGACACTTGTCTCATCAGTGATTTGCCAAAACGAAGTGGGCTCATTGACCCGGTTCGAGCAGATTCACCCGCTTCGCTACCCATGAAGATGGAAGAGTGCACACTCAATTGGACAACGGGACTCCCTGATGCGGTCTCTCGAACCTGCTTGGCATCATGACCGTGCAATGAGTCCACAGAATCACAACTCGGCAGAGAAAGTCCTACCTACACCTGCAGCGGCCGCCACTGCCAGCGCTCCAACCCCTACCCCAGCAGCAGCCCCCACCCCTGTTGCCCCCAGGGCGACCGCCCCAAGCGCGCCGACAGCCCCGGCCGCCAAGCCACCCACGCCGGCCGCTCCAGCGGCAATTGCAGCAGCAGCCAGCTCCGACTGCTCCAGAACCCACAGAACGATGCCGGGGAAGTCAACAACACCTGGCAGGGAACAGACAGTCAACACATCTAGTTCAAGAAGCTCTAAAAGATCCCAAAACAATCCTGCATATGACGAAGCCCCGTGAAAAGAGCGCGGCTACCAGCATCATGTTTCCCGTGGTGCCCTGCATCGTGCCTACTCACCCAGGTACCTGTCAATCCAGCTGGCGTCCTGGGGGCCATCCACATTCCTGACGGGAGCGCTCAAGATGTTGTGCCGGCTCAGGGTGAGCACAGCGTCAGCAACGCTGGCAGTGCTGGGGATCTCAATGACTGCACGCCAAGCAGCAGGGGGTGAGACAGGGCGAGGGGCACGTCTAAGAGCGCCACATATGGTCTTTGCCAATCGTTTACGAACCTTGTCTACTCTGATCTATGCTCCAAATCGCAGCTGGCATATCTAGTGCTGAAGAGGAGGCGGCAGACGACTTCTTGTCCCATTCCATCCTCTCCAATCTCACATTCTATTTGATTCATTCAGAAAACCTTCTCTGGTTTGCAATGAGAGGATTTTTGCGTTGAAACTTGTTCGCACGTTAGGGAATATTGCCTGACCTGTTCCATGGGGCAGACCAGGAAACCTGGACACAGGAACTTTCTCAAACGCAGCATTCCGGGCTTCCGCCTCAGTTGCGTTGTGCGCAGCTTCAGCGTAGTAGGCCTGCCACCAGCAGAAGAAATGCGTCAGGATACACTCAACAAACCTGAAGTGTCCAGCTCGACTCAGAATCCTGGATTTGAATGTTTCCATCAAACTTGCTTTTGGCATTGCAAGGACTCCAAATTAAGCCGATTCATGCTTCAGAGCTGCATGCATGTCAGCTAGAATTATCGGCATTTGGCGCTAACCTGAATCTCGCCCTGCAACCCTGGCGCGTGAGCAGCCTCCTCCACAGGGACAATAGCCGACGCCATGCTCACTCTGCTGGTACGTTTGAAGCTCCCTCAACCTCCAATACACTGACAGCACGAGGAGGTCGGTTTGCTTCAACTTCAAGTTGCTTGGCATGAATTGTCGGGCTCTCAAAACTCTCAAAAGTAGCTGGCCGTTGCAGAATTTGTTCTTCAAAGGCGCGCACAATTTGCCGCACATCTAGCTATACATCAGACTGGTGTGACTCACGAGATGACAACTGTCACTTTTTGAAAAGGTGGAAGTCCATTGGTGGTTTTGCCGGGAACGATTCTGCGGAACCTGCCAGTGCGGGTTGAGTTCAGGACATGACACCTGTCGCGTGATCAGAAGCTGCGCGCATTGCAAATTGCAATTTGCGAGACACAAAAGCGATTGCGATTTAACAATTTGGAGCCCGGCCTTGCAAGGTTGCAGGGACGCAGCTGGCCTTGAATTAAGGGTCAGAATGGAATCCGTGGCACGATCAGTCCTTTCCGCTTGCAATGACATATGTCTGTATTCACAGCAGAGCCATGTAATTTGTTGCATTTGAAAGGCGCATGCCGATGTCAAATGTTCCTTTATAAGGACGGGCCGATCTCTCATCGATCATTGCACACAAAACGACAACAAGCATCTTTCATGCCTAGATCTAGAAGTACGGTACATAACATTTTTGAGCCGAGTACGTTCTGATTATAACTTATATAGCGTCGAGCACCATATTTGGAATTGAATTATAGTGCATACTCAACCAGATACGTAGTTGAGCTAAACTTCAAAGCTTCACAAATCCTTGAATCGCGGTTGGTCTAGCTCGATGTATACGCCTTATTGTCAATCAAACTCCCGATTCAGTATATTCCTAATAAGGATTCAAGTTGTAAGTACTTCGGGTACAATATGCTTCGGTGATCGTGGTGTTAGTCTGCTGTTTGAATCAATTTACGAGTTCTTGCAAGAGATCCTCTCTGGCAAGGCGTTGTTTGACCTATGGTAAGGCAGAACCCCGACCAATATGTGGGGCCCGAATATAGCGGCGTGCCTTGTCAGCACAAAATTTCCGACACAATCAGAGGTTATGCAAAGGGACCTCGATCTCGGCATTTGATTATCATACAGGTTTCATAGTATCAATTACAGTCAGCTCCCTGCAGGAGGTTCTAGATGAGATATTCTCAACAAAGTAGATTACACGTATCTGGAGACAGTAATATCAACCTCAGTCTCAAAGCTTTGACCTCTGAGAACCCCCTTTTTTGGATCGCCCAGCAACAAAATTCTGCATCGCCTTGAACTCTTCCGGTTTCATTTGTGAATAGTACGCATGGGCACGCTCCTGCATAGATTGCCGCTCGTCAAGCTTCGTTACGAAATATGATTGAGCTTCTCGGAACAAGGTGTGATTTCCCCTCCCGGGTCACGCTGACCTATCGAGCTAGCCATCAAAAAAGATCAACATCGCACATCAGGCACGGTGCAGCAACTGAAAGCACCCCCAAGTGCGCGCAGCATTTGCGCACCTCTTTTGCCAACGATATGCACTCGTACGCATCAGCGTCTCAAGTCATTAGACTTCGTTCGAGCCGTGAGCCAACCGGGCCTGGCTGCGTATGGTCAGGCTCACCTTCTCCAGCTTCATGGCTTCACCGAAAGGCAACTTGAGCCCGTCGTTCAAGACTCCCTTGTATCGCGACACCAAGCCACTCTGCACAAGACGCCGGAGTACATGTCACCAAATATTCAACCCGCACTTCAAAACAACCTTATCCAATGCTATTCAGAGAGCATAATCAGAATGTCACGAGTTAACGCCGCAGGCCTTCGAATGAGCTCCACCACTGATCTGTTGAGGCAAGAGTGTGCAGCTAGACGGGTGTATCTCCGGTGGATGGCTTCCGAATGCCAGGAAGCATAAAGCTGCATGACGGTAGTCCCTTCTCGAAGGTCTTTGGTATGCTGGGGGGGGTGCACAGTCGCACCGGATAGGCAGAAGTGACAAGACTGAGTGAGTAAACTCGAAGCTCTCTTGATAGCGACCACGTCTACATGGCACAGGAGGCACCTGAGGAAGTCGCAGGATCCAGTGCAGGACAAGCAGAAGCACTGTCCTTTGCGACAGTACGTCGACTTCGCGCAGCATATTTACTCCCAACCGTCAAAGAGAGCTTCCTGTTCGCACAGTCTTGCAAATCGGGTCTGTGTGATGAGCCGTTCCATCGCCCACTCAAGTTGTTTTTTGACAGCCCTCAGGTTGAATCTTCGAAGACGACTACCCCTCAGGCTTGTTGGCGACTCACCTTACAAGCTTCGCCCAAGACTGGATTGCCTTGGAGGCACGTTTGACAGATTACAAGCCCCCCTCGCAGCCCCTCACCTGATTCTTGATGATGGCTCCTGCTAGCCGCTTGGCTTCCGGTAGCAGCTGGCCCGGCTCCACGGCTCTGCTGATGAGGCCCCACTGTGCAGCAGTCGGAGCGTCCAACGGCAAAGCCGTGAAGGAGACCTCGCGTGCTCGGTTGGCCCCGATCAGGCGAGGCAGCTTCTGAGACAAGCCCCAGGATGGCATCAGCCCAAACCTGGTGCAACAAACAAGCAGGTTGAAAGGGTTGGGAAACCTTTCCACAAATACAGCCTTACCTATCCAGCTGACCCTTGGGCTGCCAAGTGTGCAGCTAGAAGAGTCAGGACATATACATGCACAGGTCCTCGAAAGGTTCTAAACGAGGGCCATTAACTTCGGATAATTCGATGTATGGAGACAAAACACAGTATGATTAGAAGTGAAGATAACTGCCATGATGATAGATACCGATGACAACCTTAAACAATGAACTTTCTGAAGGACCGGGTGGTCTGTCTGTTGTTTGACTCGATTCACTGATTTTGAGTTCCACCACCAGTACCACGACTTTACTTTTGAGATATGTGGTCTGTCTCTCCGTCAAAGAGTTGCTCGTTTACAGTGTTGACTCTTGCTGAACAAAGGAATGCCTTCAATACGGAATCACCTGGCTAGGGAGCGTTAGCTGTGCCTTGGTGCATCACCACAACTTCCAAATCAGAAAGTGCTAGAAGTTCTTACTTGGTGTGGGTGTCCATGAACTTTGCCTCTCTGCTGGCAATGAGGATGTCACACGCAAGCGCAATCTCAAAGCCTGCAGACGAGAATGCGGTAAGCGACAAGTACGTACAACGTTCTGTTGGATGACCTTCATCAGGAGGAGAGCACCTCTGGGTCCAACACAAGTGTTCCCATGGGAGTTTTTTGCTGGTCTCACATGCCCCTTGGTTTGGGAGCGCTGATTTGCAAACTGAGCTCAAATTGTGCGTGCTTTTCCTGTCTACAGACAAAGCACAACAACGTTGGAGTGCACAGACATGGTGCAACTTACCAGCTGTGACCGCATGCCCATTGATTGCACCAATGATTGGAAGTGGGCATAGCTCCATCTGTGCAACTGGATCAGCTTCTATGTCCTTCACATCACCCTGGAACACGGTCTGGGCTGCCGTCAAATCCTGCACGAGAGTAGGGCAGTGCAGGTTAAATGAGGGGCACTAAGCGTGCCACCAGCTGCTCATCTCTATGGCATACTTGTACATTCCCCTTTGAACAAGATGCACCACTGCAAGCAGAATGCACGTCTGCAAGCCCCTGGTGATACTTAATACCACCACAGTTTCTTTCCCCCAAAAGGCCAGGCCTGAACTCAGCCAGCTGACAGCACCCTTCAAACCAGCTTACCTGATTACTCTGAGAAGAAAGTTGCAAAATGCTGCTTCATCTTTTGGACGGTTGCTTAACTTTAAAGCTTTGCTAAAGCCTGCACAGTTGATCCCAATGGCCAGATATGCACAAAGTGTTGGAACAAGTTGTGAATGTGGGATCCTGCCCTATCAGAAGCATATATTTTCTTCACAGCTGCTCACAATGCCTGCTGAGAACGCTCGACCAGCGCCAGTAAGGATGACCACCCTTGCAGACTTGTCAGCTCGCAAGCTCTTGAAGGTCTGAGCCAGCTGCTCCAGCATAGGTCTTGTCAGCGAGTTCAGCGCGTCCGGGCGGTTGATTGTTACTAGGACAGCGCCTGGTGGTAAAGAGTCTGCTGCCCTGCCAGGGACCCCCCTCTCAACAAGGATTGCACCATTCGCCATGCTGCAGGAAAAGTTGCAGGCGACGCCAGCTTATGTGAGACCTGGAATTGGCGGGATATTAGCTGAAAAGCGCGACAAATGCAAATATCACAAAGCTAGACGCCCTCGGCCTTTAAGTGATGTCACGCCAGAGGCAGGCAATTGAAGCTCTAGTCACTACTAGCTAGTGTGCTCCAATGCTCTGCACCATTGGCATGTACCATTGGCATGTACCATTGGTAACTGTAGCGCTCCCATTAATTCTCTATCCGAGTCAGCAGACAGCGAACCCGTCAAACGACGGCCACCTCTGTTGCATGATCAGCACGTTGACACCCCGCTCATACCGCGCCCATTGGAAGCGTTTGTGTCAATCACCTACATCAATGCAACGTACAAGCGGAAAACGCTGATTTGCGCTGCGGAAGTTTAGGGCTTCACTTCCAGGACGAGATCTGGCGGCAGGGCTGTGGTAGCCGATCTCATCAAGCACTCGGAACGCGGCCCATGAGTCTCATCGACGGTGCAAAGTTGCGGTCCGACTGTCGCACATCAGGCCCACTTCCGAAGCCCCTCGATCAATGAACAATCTACGACGTACTTGACACGCGGATAGTACCAAATGGCACTTTTTCACAGAGTAATGACACGTGGACAATCGCACGGTTGCAAATGGGTTTAATGTTGAGTTTCGGATTTGATTCCTGATGAGTGCAAAGTCTTGACTTCCAAGTCTCGACCGTCTCTCCGACTCGAGTCTCGAATCTCGACTCCTGCAGATGTGCCGCTCGCAACAGGACAGACGGTCCTCCAGTCAGGCCCGTGCACAGCAACTTCCAGCGCAAAATGGCGGCTGTCCAGACAGCTGCGATTGGCTCCAGCAAAGGTTTCACAACCTGCCAATACAGAATCCTTGGTCGTAACACTGCAGGGGAAAATGCTTTCCTGGGTGCTGGGTGTGCTTCGTTGAAGGGAAGGCCACAATGGGGCAAAACGAGCTGCCGCGAAAAGAATGGCATTCTTGCTGCAGTGAGCACCACCCAGGAGGCTGCGATACAGGCAACGGCAAATGCAGGAGGGGAGCCTCTTTTGCTGAGGACTATGAAAGGGGAGAAGACAGAAAGGCCGCCCGTGTGGATGATGCGGCAAGCGGGCAGGTACGGAGCGCCTCTCCTCTCTCCGCGGGCCGCTGGTCATCTACTTCTGTTTGTGTGTCACTCAGTCAGCACTTCATCTTGTCGAATCAAGTAACCCCGGTATCCAAGAAGGAGTCAGCACGTACAGTAAGGGCCTCTGACTAGAAAGGTCACTGTCAACAGAACGGGCTTGGGTTCCTTATTATGCATTCATCAGCCCAGCGGAATGTAGCATGAAGGAACAGACCTAGCACACTAGCATTCCATTGCTTACAGTACCCAACTTGGGGTTGCTAACACAGGTGCACCTGCTCACCTTGTGTCGAACTTACCCAGTATCTTGATCACCCAGCATCCTGAATAAGTGAACATAGCTGGTGCTAGTTGTTGCTGGTCACGACGCCTGATCCTTGTCTTGGATAGCAATGTACTTCCAGGTTTCTTCGCAATGCCGATTCTGGTGGCGCTTAGGCAGGTTCAGGAATAGCAGGAGATTTTGGGGACTGCTTTTAACGTTTTTTATCAGAGGCTATGGCTTCTGTCTATAGAGGCCCTTACTGTAGTCTGTCCTCCAGTCATCCATCTTGGCAAAACAGTAGACTTCGATCACCGTGCAGGTACATGAAAGTATACCGTGATTTGTGTCAGAAGCACCCCACCTTCCGGGAGCGGTCCGAGAATGTGGATCTCTCTGTGGAGATATCCTTGCAACCGTGGAGGGCATTCCAGCCAGATGGGGTCATCTTGTTCTCCGACATCCTGACCCCCCTCACGGGCATGAACATTCCTTTTGACATCCTACAAGGAAAGGGTCCCGTCATCCACAACCCCATCCGAACGCTCCAGGACGTCGATGCCGTGCGGTGCGGTGCCCATCCGATTATCTCTCTTTCAATGCAAGCGCCTCCCGTTGCTTTGAGAGTTTCTAAGGCAAGTGGCTGTTGCGACCACCACCTCTCGAATCGATTCTGGAATTTGCATTATAGTACCACTGTAGACAATCTGGCACTGTAGTATGCAAGCAACGGCAGTGGCAGTGGGTTCTGAAACCCTCTTCTCCTCGCCCTGCTCCAGGCCACTTGTTCCGGAGGAAGCGGTGCCGTATGTTGGGGAGACTCTGACCATCCTGCGGAAGGAAGTGGGGGATGCTTCAGCAGTGCTGGGCTTCGTTGGGGCCCCGTTTACCCTGGCGTCGTACATTGTTGAGGGGGGCCCCTCCAAGCACTTCATCAACATCAAGAAGATGGCATTTGCGCAGCCCCAGACGCTCCATGCGCTGTTGCAGAAGCTTGCTGATGCAGTCACTACGTATGTACGCTATCAGGTGAGGAGCAGTTGAGTCCTGCCGCGCAAGGCCGGGCAACTGAACAGAATACGTCTAGTTGGATTACGCTCACTTTTGTTTTGCCCAGCCACAATGAGATGGCTTCACAGAAGTGTGCAGAATCACCCACATGGTCTGCAGAGAAAACTAGATTTTGCTATCATCAATGATGGTCTGACGCTGTGGTTTCAGAAAGAGACCAAGGTTGTTCAAGCTGCTGTATTGTTATCCTCAACAGTGCGCTTTTTCGAACCTCGCCTTTCTTCGTTTTCTGGCATTTGGTTTTTCAGATCACAACAGTCTGGTCCGCCCTTCGTGACGCTGGTCTATGTGTGCGCAGGCGGACACTGGGGCCCAAGCAGTGCAGATATTCGATTCCTGGGCTACTGAGCTGAGCCCTGTCGACTTCGAGGTATGTACTGCAATTGTATCTTTGAACAATCCATCCCTTTCGGCACTTCTCTATCGAGTTGTGGCGGTGGCAGAGTCTTCAATGCCCCAGGTGGTCCCTGCACATGATCCTCTTGGGCCATACCCCTACGAAGGGGTGATACTTTTCCAGCTTCACCCACTTTGACTCATATACTCACAGGAATATGGTATGGAACTGTGCGAGAGGCAGCTTCAGCGTCAAGCTGACTTTTTAGAGCAAGCCAGCTGACCGGGTTGGCCTTTGGATGCAGGTCTTCAGTCTCCCTTACCTGCAACAAATTGTGGATGGAGTCAAGGAGACCCACCCAGATCTTCCTATCATTCTTTATGCATCCGGAAGTGGCGGGCTTCTTGAGAGGATGGCAAGGACCGGTGTTGCGTGCATCAGGTAAGAAGGATCCATATTTGTTCTGCTCACTTGAACTTTTTCTTGTCATTCTAATTTCAGCTAGACAATGTACCTTGATCTAGTGCTGGTCAATCCTAGATGGACATTGAATGCGGAAAAGCGTGTGCCTTCTGGAGGTGGTCTCAACTTTTCGCACTCCAGAAATTTCACATGCTGAGAGTAGTCAGACTGCTCTTGAAGTCTGAAATGGAAGCCTGGCCGCTTGCGCAGTGTTTCGTTGGCTGTAAGCCTGCTGATCTGGGAGATTGTGGCAGTAAGCTGGTTATCAGCATACCATCTAGTTCAAACCTTAGTCCAAGCACCAACCAATTGTCATCCGTGCAGTGTTGACTGGACGGTGGACATGGCTGAAGCAAGGCAGAGAATCGGAAGCGCACAAGCTGTCCAAGGAAACATGGATCCGGCGACACTCTTTGGCCCGAAGGACTTCATCTCGGAGAGGATACATGACACCATCAGGAAGGCCGGCAACCACAAACATATTATGAACCTAGGGCACGGGGTCCTAGTCGGGACCCCGGAAGAGCACGTGGCACATTACTTCGAAGTAGCTAAGAATGTGAGGTACTCCCAATAGAAACTGGGTACGATCTTTTAGATTGCGGGCATATCGGAAACGGCTGCTTGTGAAGGTAACATTCACCTCACGTGGTCCATAAGGGAAGTTATTCACTCAAACGCAGAAGCTGGATCCATTTCCTGGTGCAAGGGACAAGAAATATAGAGGCAACAATTGAGGGTTTTACATGGGTCTCCTGAGTTTCGGAGGCTTACTCGACAAAAATAAGCACTTGGTCTTCACCAGATCCCATGTGCACTGTTCATTTACGCGCACATCTAACCGGCCGGATCAGTCGAAGCGGGGGTCGTTTATTTGCGCACATGATGCCATGGCCGGGCCAGACTTGGATATTCATTTTGAGTCATACATACACCATTAGCCAGGGCCTAGCTAGGCATGTTATACGCACCTGCTCACTGACCGTGACACATGCATGGTTAGGCGTATGGGGAGGCGCATGTATATGCACATGCATGGACGGTCGTGCGCTCTATTGTAGTACTTTTAGCTCGAATTACGTAATTAAATGCATGAGGAACTTAGCTAGTTATACACACAGGTAAAGCACTCGGTGACGACGCCAATGACCTCTAGCTGGCCATTCAGAATCAGCAACCCTTCTCTTTACAAAGTTACAGGCCCAGGCCGTGGCCTAAGGATAAGCAATAGGCTTCCGCCTGCACCATACCACACGAACGAATTGAAGAGATTCGGTTTCTCACTGCTAAGAGAAATACTGGTTAAAGCACTGCAGTACATCACTTACAAAGTTTTTGTTCTGACCGCGGGGCCCTGGGTTGATTGACTGATCAATCCTTTTTAGAAAGCGTTCTTGAAGACTGCTCATCTATGACTTCTGTATCACCATTGAAGACAATGCCATGAAATCGAGGTTTCGAATCGATGTAACGTGCCCCATATCCAAGTCCAAAACCCCAACCTAAGCCAAGTCCAATGCCGCAGCCGCCACCTATTCCAGGGAACACAAAGTGTTTGTGATTACCACACTTCTTCGCTCTTGCAACAAGTTCGCATCCTCAAGCACGAACAGCTTGAATACACAACAATTGATAGAAAACTCCTTGTTGAATGACTATGAGAGAGACAGAACAGGTCTTTGGAACCACGGAGAAAGTCTCTTCAGCAATGACTTGCAAGATACAGTTGATCCATTGGCAGAGGGGGGGTTGGACAACCATATCCGTCCTTTAGAAACCTTAAGCGCACCTGCACCGATCCCCAATGTCTGCAGCGGGGCTCCTGAAAGCACCCAATCATTCGAAGATCATTTGTGTTTTCTTTCAAATGATTTATACGGGATTTATACAGACAATGCACCGATGGTCAACCAACCAAAGATTGCTTGAACAACTCTTCGCTTGGTAAGTGCAGCAAGGACGCAGATCTGAGTACAATTTGCATATTCCGAAGCAGCTTTTGATGAGATTCAGAGAACATACCACCGAATCCCCATCCCACTCCAAACCCACAGCCAGCTCCAAATCCTGCACAATGAGAGATAAGACTCTTCAACCAACCAGGGACACCTTTACAGCATTCAAAAATTGCTCAGTGGGAATACAAATTGCCGGATGGCAGAGTCAGACCTGTCCCTAGAGAGAAAGTCGTATAGAAATTGCAAACAAAAAGTTGTATGACTAACCAAAGCCCACGCCTCGTCCACCAAATGCACCGACAGCCATTGTTTCGGAGACACGATGACGTCTCCTAAGCGAATCCCTCGTTGATCGGTGAAATGGCACTCGCGTATCCTCAGCTGTTCTTGTGCCTTCTTCAAGGCCTCCTGAAGTTTCAGCTTTGAGTGTCGAAGGCCGCCATTGGCATGACTAGTTCAATACAAACCCCCTGTACAGTGCTGAACCTGAAATTTCTGGCTCGCACCTGCTTACAAACTCCACATTAAAGTCAGACAAGGGACCACAACGGACCACCGCTGGCATGAATGAGCATCCATGCACGCATATACAGCCTACAGCCTCAGGAATACATACTCGCGCTGTAGAAGTCTTATAACTCTTCACTCAAGAGTCATGCACAGCAGCACAGGCTTCCACAAGTTCCAGCCGCTTCCTGTCAAAAGTTGAAAGTGCTTACAGTTCTGGATCAGGATGTATTGAAACAATAAAGTTGTAACCTGGGTTAACCCCATAAAATGACCCGTTCAATATCTGGTCACTTACTGGTCATGGTACGTAACCCCGTTCAAAGTTCAAATGACAAACACCCGTGCACCGGCTGGCGTACGTACAGGTATCGACGCCCGGGCGTCAATACGGGCGCCCGTGTGAGCTTCGTGCACCCCCGGCCATTCATATGATACTATCACCGGGCGTCTTATTGTGGTTTTGACGTCCAAGTATACATGTATAAGTAGTTAATGGAAAAGCATGCAAAGGTTAATTATTAACCTTTGCATGCTTTCTTCGTGATATTTAAACTTAATATGTATCACGAAGACTTGAAACTTGAAACTTGAAACTACCGTAGTCCAACGTGATGATTCCGAACGGATTTTCCCAGTAATAATTTTCCAACAATCCGACCAGGAATGCGCAATTATTGATGCAGATTCCGACCAGAATCCGAATGCCCTATGCTCCCAGTAAAGAGGGGATTTTAAGGCTGATTCTGGCCGTTTTGGGGCTTCCGAGGACCATTCTAGAAATATTTAACCTTTCCGAATTTTCAATTTCCGAATGAGAAACCCGAATGTCTGACTTTCCGAATGCAAATAATTATCTATTTATTCGGAATCATTACCTTGGACTACGGTACCTAACAGAAACCAAGCACATTCATTCATTCATGATTCACATCATTCAGTGGCAGCTGCCAGCAGCAGCACAGCATGGATCCCGCTCGGCTTCAGGACAGTTCAATCTGGCTGGTTCAGGAGAAGCTGGTGGCACCTAACAACGTGAAGTCACTGTTTCTTGGCCATTTTGGACTGTCCTCCATGGCTTGATCTTGCAGGCGGGCAATTTGTCTTCCATCTATTTATCGGGCCTGATCCATGTGATTGACAGCTCCTCTGACAAAGTGCCCCTGCAAGTGAAGAACCATGGCGAAAGAGCCGCTGTTGCCGATCACCCATCAGCCCAGTGTTGTGTCAGAGGCGCATTCTGGTCTTACTGAAGCTGCAGAAGGGTCGATTGTTGGTGGCACTCCGTATGGAACGCCCACCCCGGCTCCCCCCAGTAACCCTCCCCGACCTGGGATTGGCCACTCCTCAGTGTCAGACAGCTCAAATGCGAGGGCCCAGGTAGCAAGCTCGCCGCCACCTGTGTTCCAGCTGCCAGGAGTCTCCTCTCCTGGCGGCGGTGGTAGTGTGATTGATATGACGTCTGTGGGGGCTGAAGCTGGTGGCAGCATGCCGGCGCGGATCTTATTCGCCGGCGCGCAGTTTTCAGAGAGCCAGCCGGGCGGCGGCATCCTTGCAACTGATGCCAGCAGTCACGTGGACGGTGCCAATGGGGCGGTGGTACATGACCACCTCCTGGATGATGCCTCATCGGCTGGCCCTTCCGTGGACCACTTTTTGAGCTTCTCTTCAGACACGGTGAGATACTGACACCTCCTGCATTGGCCGTCGCAAACAATTGTGCGGCAGCAGTGCCACGTGTTGTTCACGAGTTGACAGGAGCCTATTTGAGACACCCCTCCCTGCCAGACCGTTCAGCAGCACTGAGTCGTAGGGAGCTTGGTGCAGGTCCCTAAAGAGAAGCGGATCGCGAACATTGGGAGCCTGCCGTTTGGCGCCATGCTTTCTCCAGTAAAAGAGATGACTCCAGGCCCTCCGGTGGTGAGGACACCACCAGTCGCTTGCGAGAACTGCGGTGAGACCATTTCCCCTGCTTGGCAGCTTTAATCTAGAAAACGCGGCTTCCTTCACCCTGCCTGCAATTCGCCCCAACTCATCTCGGGTTCATACCCTCAGATCTCGAGCCCTGATCTTCATCTTTCGCTCCTCTCGTGTGCCCCCCAAGAGGGTGTTATCTTCCGGTGGTCACTTTTCGGGCCCTGGCTGGTGCAGGCGCTATACACAACCTGTACAGCCAGAAGGTGGTCACCCCGGCGGGTGCAACGGCCTGGCGGTGCGCCTTTTGCCAACACGATGACGAGGAGGCAGGGCACGCCCTCTACTGGAGTGGGAGTGACTACAGGTAGGAGCGGACGCCAAGCCAAGCGGACACACTCTGCTTGCCAGCTATGCTTTCGGACGGGGGCTTTCGCATCGCATCCCAGATCGTCTTCCTTGGAACTTCTCCCTGAAGCTTTCAACCAAGTCAATGAGAACACATTGCAAAGCTGTCCCTCACGTCCGCTGCAGCGGGAGCAAGCCTCCAGGCCCTTGTACTGACAGCCCCCTCGTTGTTTCCCTTGCCAGTCAGCGCCCCGAGCTGTCCTGCGGCGTGGTGGACTACCTGGATGCGGCCGCGCTGCACCCCGGCTACTCTTCTGCGTCGGACGCGGCCATGGCGGCGCCCGTGCTCTTTGTGCTGGACGAGTGCCCCGACCCGCTCGAGCTGCAGCACATGCAAGCCAGCCTGGCGGCCACCCTAGAGAGCGTTTCGCCGGCCACGCGTGTGGGCATTATCACGTACGGCAAAGCAGTCTCTGTCTACGACCTCTCGCACACGGGGGTGGCCGCTGCGGACATCATTCCCGGTAAGCCAACCGCCCAATGTGGAAGCATTTTCGGGTGACCCCTCCTAGGAGGCCAATGGGAAGACCTGGCTAGGGGCACAGTCTGCAGATGCTCAAGTTTGTCTCGAAACGTCCTTTCACTCGTTGCCGGCCCCAAGGCTTGAAGAAGAACACCTCATTGATGTGACTAGTGCAACCCCAAGCATGGCTCCCATTGAAGTGCCCTCTTCGGCCGTCGAAGTGGCCTAGGCTTGATGGAGCCTGGAGAACCACATACCTTCACATGTAAAAGAGGTATACAAAGATATCCAGTTCAAGAGGCTTCGTGACCGGAAAGAAGCAGGTGTTGGAAGGGCTCACAATGTTATCTAAGCCTGGTGCGTAGCAAGTCCCTGTTCATTACGGGTGCCAGCGTGTTGGAGGTCTCTCGTGCAAGCTTTGCTGTACGAGGTGGCATGGTCGTGTCCAGGATAAATTGCCCTTTTTGATCGCCCTTTCTCTTTTCCTTCACTTTGGTAGCTCAGTCCCCCTGTCCGTTGTCGTGCAGGCAGCACGGCCCCTAGTCCCGCCTCCCTCAAGTCGCTGTTATACGGCACCGGCGTCTACCTAGCCCCTCTCCACGCCTGCCTACCTATTGTTCAGGACGTCATCGCCGCTCTTCGGCCATACCGCGGCACAACTCCGGAAGTCGAGCGGAAGCGCTGCCTGGGGGTGGCGGTAGAAGTGGCGCTGGCACTCATACGTGGTGAGGACCTGCTTGCGACGCAAGTGCGGTTGGAGCACTGTTCGTGGAGGGCATGGGTGGTCAGAACGAGCGTGTTGCCGGCATCGACGTTTTGTGCCAAGTCCGCAACACCAGGGATGTCGCGTGCGTCCAGGTCAGAGGCCGACCTTGACATAGATCTTTCTCTCGAGGCTTGGGAGGGCGTTCCTAGTTCTCAGAATTACTCTTCCCGCCCGACTCGTTCCTGACTTCGTCTTTCTGCTCCGCAGGGCCTGCCTCCGACATTGTGCGCTCCAGCCGCGGCCAGCCTGGCGGCAACGGCCGCATCCTGGTGTGTGCGGCGGGCCCCGTCACGGAGGGCCCCGGGTCCATTCCGGCGCACGAGGCGCACCCCGCGTTCCAGTACGAGCTGCAGCGCGCGGCGCAGCACATGGCGGGCCTGGGCCGGCAGGCCAAGCAGCTGGAGGTGGCCATCGACGTGCTGGCCGCGGGCACGTGCCCCGTTCGCGTGCCAGTCCTGCTCCCGCTCGCGGAGGCGTCGGGCGGCACGATGCTGCTTCTCGCGGACGGCTTTGAGGCAACTTTCGCGGAAAATGTGCGGCGCGCCCTGCTGCGTGGTAGCGGCTCTCGTGGCAGCCTGTGCGTGCGCTGCACCCCGCCGTTGCAGCTGGCGCGGGTCATTGGACCTGCTGAGGCGCCCTCGGAGACTCCGGAAGCGGCAGGGCCCAGCGGTGAGGGCCTGCTGCGAGCCTTCCTTGGCGCCCACGGTAATCGGTTGTAGCAGGGGAGAGTTCAGTCCAACATAGACGTGTTGTGTTGCATCTGGTGCTCAACCATCTCCTCCGTTCGCTCCTGCCTGCTTCTCCTTGCTGCGCCTGACTGCTTCTTGTCTGCAGACACGGGCGCGTGGTTCCAGTTGTCGAGCGTGGAGCGGCAGCAGGGGCTGGCGCTGTTCCTGGAGCTGGCGGAGGACCACACCGGCGAGTGGGCGTACCTGCAGGCGGCGGTGCACTACACCAACACGCACCAGGGCAGGTGCGCGCACAACCGCGCTTCAGATGGCAGCCCGGATCAGTGCACTTTCATCGGAGAAGCGCTTGATTGCATGATGGTGGCTTTCGGCCTTGACTCACCGAGCACCTGTCCGGGCTGGTGAAAGCGTGCCGTGCAGGCCCTCTGCAGGCTGCAGTCAACCCCTTGGGGAGATCCTCGCTGTCCTTGGCCCCACATAGCTTGGCCTCCGGCACTGCCGCCCTCGCCGTCCGGCCTTCGAGTGCTCATCCTTTGCTGCCCCCCTCGCAGCGTGGTGCGCGTCATCACCACCCGGCTGCCCGTCAGCGGCAGTGTGTCAGCGTACCTGCGTGGCGTGGACTGCGGCGTGGCGGCCGTGCTGGTAGCCAAGAAGACGGTGCTGGCGGCGCGGAGCAGCCGCGATGCGGTGGAGCTGCGCGAGCAGTTGGACCATCGGATACGCGACATGGCCACGCGCCTCGGCCGCGCCGCAGAGACGCCCGGCCTGCGCCGCTTTCCTCCCGAGGTTGCGCGCCTGCCCGAGATGCTGTTCCACCTGCGGCGGGGCCCCCTGCTGGGGAGCATCCTGGGGCACGAGGACGAGCGGGCCGTGCTGCGCCACTGCTTTCTGCAGGTCAGCGCCGCACCGCTGCGAAGCGACACTGCCACTTACGAGCTGGCCCGGCCGGCTTTGGCGAGGATCTGCCATCTTGTACCATGCCTAGAACGACTTGTTGTCCAAGGGGCATGGCAACGAGGTGCTGTGGGCTGCTCGAGGGGGCGACTTCCTCACGGAGCGACCTGAGAGAAACCCTGACTTCGTTTCAAGACACGCACTGCGCCTCACGTTTTATCCGTCTCTCTCCCCTTGGCCCTCAACTGGAGTTCCCCGCGGCCCCTTGTGTCGCTCACGCTGTCCTCGTTTGCGTGCGCAGGCGGACCTTGCGTTGTCTTCCGCGATGGTGGTTCCGCGGCTGCTGGCGCACCGGCAGGGCGGCACCTTCGAGGAGCTGCCCCCCGCCAGCCTGGCGCTGCAGCCGGACCACGTGCTGCTGCTGGACCACGGCACCCACGTCTTCATCTGGCAGGTGCGCGTACACCGCACGCCCGCTTTCGTGTGAACCGGGCCACGCGGGCTCTCGCCGCTGCCAGCTGACTTGTCGCTGATTCTCACCGAGAAGCGGTCTGGCACCTCGAAACATTTTATGGGAACAAAGGATGTCAGTGCTTGACATCCCTCGTCAGTATCCTGCCTAATGTTCCGACACTGACGGGTCTTCTCACGTGGATAGCTTCACGGATGCCCCCAGCGAAACCTCGATGCTTACCATGTGTATTCAGTGTCCATGTCTGTGTCCATATAGACATGAATCGGGCCACCCAGTAGAGAGCCCCGCCGTGGAAACGTGAACTCTCCGTGCGACCGCGGCACCCGGTCTTGCGGCGGCCTCTTGGGAGGACAGGTTGCCTCGGCGCCCTGCTGACGCGAGCACGTGGCGGTGCAGGGGTCCGAGACGGGCGGGCCGGCGCAGGAGGCGGCCGCTGCGGCGTGCAGCAGCCTAGCCGCGGAGCTGGCGGAGCAGCGCTTCCCCGCGCCGCGCATCCTCGCCTTCCAGGTACGCAAGCCGGCGAGAGCCGCCAGACAGAGGCGGCGATAGACCCGATCCTGGCGGACTGCTTGCGTCCCACACGACCTTGAAGGTGGTACCGCTTGTACAATCTCAGGCTCTGTGAATCATGGTTTTGGCCACGGCTGGACAGGTCCCCGACAGCGTGCACTGCAGCTTGAGCCGCTGTATGGTGTGTGACTGGGCCGCCGTGTGCGCGGTGTGCAGGAGGGCAGCTCGCCTGCGCGCTACCTGGTGGCGCGGCTCATCCCCGGCCACAAGGACGCGCCGTACGAGCAAGAAACCCGGTTCCCACAGATCAAGCAACTGTCCGCAGAAGCGCGCGCCAGCTTGCGCAACAAGTTGCTGGCCACCGACGATCTCAGCTTCTGCGAGTGGATGCGACAGCTCAGGGTTGTGCCTACAGACAGTCGATGAGCTTGCATCCGATTCGGCTTCCTACACTGCCGAGTTAAGGTATCGACTGTACTTGCCGCACCACATTCTCCCCCTGACAGCATCCTAAACGTGTAGATGGCAAGGTGACATGGCATGAAAATATGTGCAATGGTATTTTTGTACGGTGTTTCTGCATGTTAGAGGCACGGTAACAGGGATCGGCATTTGTAATTTTCGGCTTTGAGTTCTGGACGCTAGAACTTGTTTCTACATGGATGGCGGTGTGAAGAAGTTGGTGCCACATGTCCGCGGCGATGAAGCAACCGCGCGTCTTGACAACCTGTCCCTAGGGTATGGTATTGCTTGATTCAATGATTGGCGCGAAAGGCTTGTTCGTTGACTGAACGGCCTCAACCTTTCCTCTTGCCGGGTCGAATAATGCCAACTTTATACATGCGTTCCGGCAGGACTTGTGTCAAATGCATGTGTCGAAACTTTCGCTAGTCCTCGAGTGGCATGCATCTTACTATATGCTGCGTATTGGCATATGTCACGGTCAATCAGTTCCAACGTTCCTCAGCTAGATGTCAGCAGGCTATGGCTGTAAAGCTGGATACTCCGGCACAGGCGGCCGGCGGACGGGTTCACGCAGGCATACGCACTTTACTGAGCCAGTTGCGGCGGCTAGCTAGTGAACTTCGGAAGCCTTCGGAATGCCCTACTATCCTAGCCTTCGGAGGGAATGATACCGTTAGCGATCGGAGCTCTACGTACTAAGGGGTGGCGCACTGCGGGACCGCCGCGGCGCGCGGCGGACTCGTCGCCAGCACGCCTGGCGGCCGGCCGGCCGGGGTTTAGAAGAATCTTGCTTGCAATCATTGAGAATCATCGACGGCAAGGAGTGCTCCTACCTTGTCTTTGGACGGTCTGCATAGATTACACCGTGGAAAGCACACCTTCTACTGACGTCACGGTCCCAGCTGGATCAAGTCCAATGTGAACCCTCTCCTGGGGCGCGGTATAGCCTTACTAATACTATGCCTTAGGGCTATAGCCTTACTAATACATGTTTAAGTACCATTGGGAAGGGGCCTTCTTAGATGGCACGCGAGCAGCATTCCCGATGCATTGTACGTAATTGAACAGCTGGTGCTGGGTAACAGGATGTTTGGCGCAGCCATTGCAAACTGGGAATCTGGTCCACTCGTCTCGCAACAAGGTGTATGCGACGTGCGTGTTGGAACCTGACTGTGTTCATTGCACAACTCAGCAATTGGGGCTAAGTTGGACTATGTGCTTGTTTAGCTGACTTCACTGCACAAATCCGTGTCAAGAAGCAAAAGGTCCATCGCAGGACAATGTTTGGAGTCTTTGGGCAGGCGGGATGGGTGCGTGGTGCTAAGCCCCCTTTGGCTGGGGCCAAGCTGGCTCGAGTGGACGAAGAGGAAGAGGAGGCAGTGCTGCAGAGGCTGTCAGCACTTAGGGAGTCTTTACCCCACCGGTAAGGCGCTGGGGCAGAGGTGGGGGCAGGGTAATGTCACGCCAAGAGCTTACAGGAATCCGTGAGGGCAATTGCCTGTCTTACAAGACATGGACGCATCATCCGCAGAATTCTTGTCTGCTCCAACTTTCTGGGTGTCTCTAGTTGCGTCTAGGCAAGGCTGATTCCAAGACGTGCAGAGCAGGTTGTCTTGCTTGAATGCAGCCATCCCCAATACTTGTGTGTATTTCCATTCTTGCTTGGCTGTTTGCAAGGATTTGGCCTTTACTTCCTGACCACCTCTGAATCTTAAGGTCCAATTGCTGGGACGTATGGTACTGGGACCCTGTTCCCCACCATACCTGCAACCACTAGGTTCTGGTAGTTGAGAGAGGGACACCTTACTGCCAAATGTGCTTAAGGGAGAAACCTGAGTAGCATGAGGAGTTATGGTTTTCCATTTCTGTTGTCCAGCTAAGTTTGTGGTCAAGTCGCTTTGGTATGCAAAAGGAGTACTTTTGCGAAGACTCCGAGAAGTTCGCACATCCAGATTCCAGAGCTATTTTGACGTGTCCTCGTTTTGAACAGCCATACTCTTTGCTTGGATACAGCGGACCGCAGGACTCTCCTGAACCCATAGACCTGTCACAGTACAATCAGTCCTTCCGTTTATGGCCCCTGCCCTAGCTGACCATTCTGGTTGTGACTTCCATGCCGTGAGCAATTGTTGGCAGGCTGCCAAGCTGCCTCTGTTCCTGTGGTCGCAGGCACCGCGCCGGTGTGGCGGAGAAGGTGCTAGGGCCAGGGACGGGCATTGCGTACATCCAGGGGCCCAACGTCAAGTGCGCATCCAGGGGCGGAGTCACGGTGCTTTTCTGTGGGCAGCTGGAGCCCCCCAAGAAGGTAATTTGCTTATTGTCTTCCCGTAAGCCTCGGCGGTGGGTGGAGAAGAGCAGAAGCAGGGGCCGGGCTGGATGCGCCCACAGAATCAACCCTAATCGCTGGTGAATCAGACTCGATGCTATGCACACCCTTCAATGTCTTGTTGATAGCTTGCTCGCTCCGTAGGTCAGCTTTTAGCCTATCACACCTTTTTGATCTGCCTGAGCTACATTAGCCACTAACTTGGCCGTATGTAGGGGACATACTCAACAGAGGATTGACTGTCCCAAGTGCTCAGGTGGAGTGGGTCAACAAAAAGACAGCAACACAACATTGTACTTGTGCCAAGGGTGATCAGGGCGTGGTAAACGCTGGCTGCGCCCCTCACAGCTCCCCCCTGTTTGAGTGTCCTGCTTAACCCAGTTGCACCGGCCTGTGTGTCGCTGCAGGGGGAGCACGTTCCGGCCTGGGGGCAGGACCCGCTCGAGTGCGCCTCCAGCTGGCAGACTGAGGCAGAGCTGGCAGCAAGGGGGAGGGCAGCTGTGTGGGATGACGCCAAGCGCGTTCTGGACGTGTACAAGAGGGCTCACTGGGGGGGTTTGCAGGTCAGCAGTGGGCAGGGCAGGGCCAGGCCGCTCCCAACTGCTCTTGAACGAAGCCAAGCGGGGCCCGCCGGCGACTTTCTGTGATCGCTTGCTGCCAGCATCCGCAGATGTGTTTACTCCTGCTCTTATAAGCTTTTGAGCCAGTAGGTCTTCCGAGAGGAATGAGATACTCCTTGCTTGAGAGAATATGTCGCACCTTCGGCGCAGCCATCATGACATTACAAAGACATCCAGCCTTGATAGTTGTGTGCGCTCGTGGGGTTCATCTCCTCACTCTAGCTGCCCATGTCCCCAGGGACCGGACCTGTGGGAGGGCAAGGGTGGCTATGCGTGCCCCGCCAAGCACCACGGCGCTGGCCCACGTGCGGCGGCCCGGCTGCTGGGGGGGCTACGCGGCCGCTTTGCGTTCTTAGTGTGGGACAGCGTGCACTGCCGCCTCGTAGCTGCGCGCGACCACCAGGCGCAGGAGGCCATCTTTTGGGGGGCGCCCACCTTCGGGGAGGGGCTGCTCTTTTCCACAGACAGGTGCGCCAGCACCGGGGCAGACAGAGAACTGGCCAATGTGAACACCCAGTCTGGGAGAACACCGCATTTGAGACTGGCTGCACCTTGCTGTGCGCAAGATTGCAAGGCGGAGCTCTCTGCTGGGTGTGTCTCTGGTTCGTTGCCTCCCCTCACATTCTCATTTCGGCCCTGGTTGCGTCGGCAGGGCGCTGGTGGAAGAGGAGGCGGCTGACGCGGACCAGTTCCCTCCGGGCACCTTCTTCTGCCTCACCCCGGACGATGGCACCGACGGCACCGGCATCATGAGCAGCTTCGAGCTGGCCAGTCCCGGACCGGACGACGGCCGTGCCGGCAGCAGCGAGGAAGGCGAGGTGAGGGGGGGGGAAGACAGACTGGGCTGCCAGGGTCAAGTGGCTGGCCGTATCGGAGGCATGCCGGAGTAGGTGCCAGCATGACATGACATGACAAACATGTTGAGCCTCTGGAGGGTGGGATTGCCTCGCCATTGTTGGACTTCTGGAAGCTGGCTGATTTGTGCACTGCTGTATGCAGTGTGGGACGGACGACCTGGACGACACGAGCGGGGCGGCATCGGGCGAGGGCGACGACAACCTGGAGTGGGAATCGGGCGGTGCGCCTATGACCCTGCGCAAAAGACGGGGCTCCGCCCTCAAAGAGACCAGGCTGGGGGCACTGCGGCGCACCGCCGCGGATGCCATGTCGGACGAAGGTGAGGGCCAAAGCGGGCCGAGTCCAGCCGGAACGGCTAAGGCGGGCACGGAAGGGCAAAACTCTCTGCCCTCCCTGCTGTCTTCGCAGCTTTCGTTCTCTGTCGTTTCCCCTAGCTCATCCCCGTCCTTCGTGTCCCGCTATGCAGAGTCGTCCTCTGAAGAGGACCGCGCCAGCACGTGCGGCCTGCCTCCCCCGCCCATTGCCCCCCGCTCCGGGAGCACCCTCCGGCCCGCAGCGCCGCCATCAGCGACGCCCAAGGAGGCGGCTCCAGCAGCCGCTGGGAAGCCCCCTCGAAACCCCAAGACTGAGGCCCCCGCTCTGCGCGTAGTACTGAAGCGGCAGGAGAAGCCGGCCCCGCCCGTATTTCCCCGCACGGCGGTGCGGCGCGTGGTGACGTCCGTGATGAAACGGGTGGCGAGCACAGAGGGCATGTGCCGCGCCAGCAGCGGGGAGAACCTGGCGGCGCTGGCGGGGGCGCAGGTCACAGCGAAGTGACAGGCACGGCGGAGGGGGAGGATCCAGCATGCCTCGTGAGGCAAGGGCAAAGTTTGGGCATGTTTTGTTTAATATCAACAAGAAGTGGACGGAAGAGGCGGAAGTGGCGCAGATGGAGGTATAGAAGCTGGCCCAGGAGGTGGGGGGTTAGACAGCAGTCGTGTAGCGGTCTTGGTGTCCTGAGGTGTGTGTGTGTGTACACAGCAGGTGTGTATCATGGGGCTCGCCATCTTGTTGCGCTGCAGCAAACAATCTCGTGGAGGAGCGGCCACCACTGGCTCTAGAAAGGTGGGGCGAAGCATGCGCAGCGGCCAGCGAGCCCCCTTACGTTACTTGTCAATGTAGCATAGTGCCGGTGTGTGAATAGACAGAATCTGGGAACTAGGACGAGGTGCAGAGCTGCTGGCCCTCGTTGTGTATAGTAATTTGAGTGTGCTTGTGGCCCTTACATGGTATTCGGCCGATCTTCATTGAGAGCAGAGCATGTCTGTGTTGAAACCGCTCACGGGTTGGACTGTGCATCGGATTCAAATGCATGCCTTTCCGTCTGGCTGGTCTAAGCATAGGCCCGGGTAACCAAGTCAGAGCGCTGGAGCGAATGATAATATGTAGGGTATGTAGTCATCCAGTTATCCAATCACCCAGTCATATCGGACATGGCGATCGGTGCCAAACATTGTTTGTCGGGGGCCGCCGGCCCTATCGGCCCCATGCCTCGTGCAAGGGCATCATAATAAGAAGTATCCATGTAGGCTTGTCGACATGCAGCGTAACTTCTCCTTATGCCTAATTGCTGAGAACAGCAGCAGCGGTCATGCTCTTGAAAAGAGGTAAGTATAGGGGCCAGCATCATGTGAGTGCATGCACACATTGAATTGCAAGCTAGCCTGCATGAGTTGTAGCAAGAGAAACATATTTCAAGCATATCTGCCTCGCCACAACTCCCTTGCTATCATTATGTCGATTTGTTTCTAGCTCTTGCTTTGTGAACTCGCTCAAAGTGACTATCTCTAACCTGTCTGTTCAGCACAACACGTACACTCAAATTTGTGACATCCGGATCACCAATACGACAAGTCGTGCCGAGGGCACCATCTTGCCCGTATACTCTGATTCAGTCACTCGTGTCCAGACAAGGGGAAAACAGCAACTTCTTCCCACGTCTTCATCAGAAGGTCAGTGGGGTCTGTCCTGTAGAGGTGGAAGCTCCTGACCAGGAACTCGGTGTCCACCAAAAGGTCCTTGTGCTGGCCCGCCACAGCTTCCACAACCTGCTCCCGCACCTCGTTCGCCAGGTCACCGTAAAGTAGAGACATGTGGGGCATGTACGCTGCGAGGACGTCAATGGCCGCAAAGGCTGATATGAGCCTCGAAGTTAGAGTGAAGATTCAAGCCTCTCAATGTCCATCAGTGGCAAAGGATTTGTCTGCGTCAGCTGTTCTCCATTTCAAGAGGATGCCCAGATCCATCAGCAAGCAAGTGGACCTGACCTGGTTTGGAGGAGGGGGCCACCTGGAAGCATGACACCGAGGCAGCATGAGCATTCAGAACCTGCAGAAAAAAGGAATGGGTGAGTGGCAAAACAGAAGGGAAACAGCGCCCTTTGGCTAGCAGATGGGCCCATGTGAAAGTACAGTAGCAACCTTATCAAAGATAGCAGGAGTTCTCAAGCGGGGGATCCCCCTGCATGCTATCGACTTCTTCCCATGGACTGTGAGCTCACAACCATGGCTCCCTTGCTTGAGCTCAGCTCTGCAGCATTGTTGTGTGAGCTGGCGGCCGCACCGGGGCGTCTTTGTGCATCCTGAGGTACACCATCTGGAAGTAGGAGCTCCCGCACGCCACGTCCGCCACCCGGCACCGGTACGGGGCTACCTGCGCCGCCAGCGCCCGCGTGCGCGCCAGCACCTGCACACCCAGCCAGCGCGAGAGGCACAGGCCTAGCTTATGCAGCAGGACGTGACAGACAGACGCAGCCAGCGCCAGGTACAAGGCGGCAAGCGCCAGGTATGCCACGGCAAGCGCTCAAGTGTGTGAATATGGTACCTGGGACTGCATGAAGCTGAGAACAGTGTGCGTGGACGGGCGCCTGCATCGCGCAGCCACGAGGGGCCCACCTGGTCCTGGTCCAGCTGGTCGCCGAACCCCCCGAGGACAGTCACATGAGGAGAAAACGGCGGCGTACCGTGCTGGCTGCTCAGGTCAGCAATCAGGGCCCCCACGCGGCCTGCGAGGGGGCTGCCCGCCTCAGGCATGGCCCATAGCGAGTAAAAGCTGCCCTGAGTCATCACGCACGACCCATACAACGACAGGCAGTCAACAGCATATGAGCGTAGATCTGCGCCAGTAAATAGATTCACCGTCTCTTCCAGACCTGGTGCTTTGTAAGGAGACTTCGTCACTAGCTGGACAGCTGGACATTTGATGTACCAATGCCAATGGTCAAAACAACGAGAACTCAACGTACCGTAGTTCTCCTTGCAGGGCGGCGCTACAGGCAGGCTAGCTAGGCCGGACGCGACGCCAACGGAACACTAATCAGTAGTAAGGGAAGGGACACTTTGAAGCTGTACCCCCCGTATTAACTGTTATGGGGGGGGTACCGAAGACCGAGAGCCGCTACTGGGGGGTAGATGGGGGGGGGGACCTGCTGACATTGAAAAAGCCCAAAGTCACATGGGGGGGGGACCATTGTGTAGACTCTGAGATCTGGGGGTTCAAGGGGTGTTCAAGGGGTTAAACTGTTTACACTGTTTAATGAGATTTTATCCGGATTTTTCCTCCAAATATACCTGTAATTGTAAAAAATCTGCCCTTCAGGTTGCACCTAGCTCGAAGTCAGCCTCAACACAGCCTAAGAATTCTGCAAATGCACTCCCCTATGATCGATTTTCCAAATTTAATTGGAAAAGAAAACTGAGACTTTGCATGGGGGGGCGACCGGAGACCCTCGAAATCTGAGCAGGCAAGCGGGGGGGACTTGGGGCCCGCGCGCCAGCGCGGCCCGTAAGGAAGGGGGGGGGACTTAGGTCCTCTGGCTGAAAGGGCTCCATAGTTAATACGGGGGGTACAGCTTCAAAGTGTCCCTTTTTAATAAATCTAATAAAGTGGGCGTATGCACTCGCGAGTGCACCTGGCATCGGACGCTGGGACGGTTTAAACGTCCAAGTTGAATCTATCGGACGGCTCAGAGTTGGCCTTCTCGAGGTTATCCTCAGGACTCAGACTCA